GAGATTTGTCGACGTAGATCGCCAAAGCTCCTTTTCAACGTCTAACGCTAAAAGCGGCTTAATTAATAGGTCAAAGGAGAAAGGGCCGGCAGGGCAGAGAGGAAGGGGCCTGTCTGTCAGTCTGTCAGTCGGTCTGTCTGTCAGTCGGGCTGTCTGTCGGTTGGTCTGTGAGCGGCAGTCGTTGAGGCAACGATGGTGGATTTTTAAGGACAATTTCTTAAAGTTTGTGGGGGAAAGTATTAGATTTTGTTCATAAATGTTGAGTCAGATTCAGAGTTTCTGTTTCATCAGTGGATGTCCCAGAATCCCCTGTGAAACCATTCTGTAGGTAAATAAAACGAAAACAGAAATCTATTAATCACAAATGTTTAATAGTTAATTCACTTTTTATGGGTTAAAATGTTGTTTTGAAAGCAAATAATTAATATTAATAATAATAAATATATAAAATTTAAAAAAATCCTATGTATTTAAAGAATTTTAGTATAGTGGAATTTAAAAGAAGGTTTATTATTGGTCACTATTTGTAATGTCAGTGTGGCTTATTTACAATATTATTATTTTATCGTATAATTTTTAGAAAATTATAAACCCTTATTTTCCAGTATAGGAATAAATTTAATAAAATGATTTATATCATTAGCAACTATTTATTATTTTTTAATATTTTTTATAAACTGCATGTTTCAAAAGACACTAAAAAAAGTAAATTATTTATCAACAAATTCCATCTACCATGAGGAGCAGCTGTTACACCAACGTATTTGCCTTAGTGATTAATAAAGTCAATTCTGATTTTAATTGGATACTAAAAGAACTCTGTGTTACTACTTTTTTCTGGTTAAAAGTCTGACTGTCTGACTTAGACGATGATGAAGTTGTACCTCATGTTATGTACTAAATAACTGTAGTGTTTTCTCCGGGTCATGAATTTAACGGTCAGATTATTTATGCTCCTCATTAGTCCAGCTCCGTGCAGGGGAACGCGACACCAGATTAACGTGTGAATCCATAGTTCACGTACTTGCAAATATCATTTCTTCAAACAGCATCTACTCCCTTTTCATCATTCCGTTCCCGCTTTTATTCCATTTACACTCCACTCGGCTGGTTCATACCCTCCGCCCCTCCTCCCCAGGTTTGCCCGATTCCCTCTCGGTTCACCAACGGGGCACTAGGTCACGGCACTGGCTCGATTTTCACACTGTTCCTGTTACTGAGGGCCACATCAAGTTAATCAGGGTTAACAATTGCTGCAGCGCTTTTCTGAGTGGAATTCCCATCAGCTTAGCATGGCTTGGCTCTGGCGATACAGATGGGCTCCTAATCTGTTCTGGGACAGTTCAGGGTGGATGTACACTGTGGTCGGACGGACGGTTACAGTTGTGGAATAGCTTCGGTCAAAACAGGATTAAAAACAGATAGAGTAAGGTTTAGGAGGCAAAATTAACAGATGGAAGTTCAGGCTGAGATATTAATGATGATCAGAGATTTCATGCAATTTATACACTGTAATATATACTACAATATATAGTTGTGTTCTCTGTTTGGTTAAAGGATTTGATAGAGAAATATCTGTTATCTTTTTGTTCACGTACAAAGAAGATACTTCTAAGGTAGTGTCACAGCTTTACAGCAGTTAAGATTTTTTGCGTTGGTTATCAATTATTCAAATGGACAGGGGGAAATGCTGCGAGCACAACAAGATCAAGACATAAGGAGGCAAGAATTCTGACTGATTCTTTTTCTCTTTCATCTCAACAACTAAAGCTCGGATCAAAAAACTCCAAGAGATAAATCACTAAATTCAAAGAAAGCTTTAAAATCAGGAAGATAGTGATGATCGTGGTGAAAAAAAAAAAGTGTTCAGGAATGAGGTCCATATGGCAGAACTGAGAGCATTTGGCAACAGCAGCTGCACCACACAAGTGCCCTCCTGGTCTGCCATGATTATTTATAAGGTAGAAACAAGAACAATCTACTATCTACTGAACTACTAAGAAGGATGAGAGAAAAACATGACAAATAGTCAATATTCACAGTCATCTGTCATATTCTAAGTATAAAGAAAATGTTTGAACTTTACAAGGTTAAGTTTCATGGTTGGTTCACGTCAATAAAATTAAACAGACTCTTTAAATAATGTTTACTTTTTAGCTAAGAGATAATTTTTTTAATATAATTATTGCTTTCAAAAATAACCCATTGTATAATGTACAGAATATCAGGTGGAACAGCTGGAAATTAATGTTAGAACAGAGACAAACAAACAAAAAGAATGACATGTATGTAAGACTGGAGGCAGAAACTACTGCTGAATATGCAGCCCATCTTAATTTAAACAACAAAATATATCTTTGTTAATTAAGTTAACCAATTTCCATGAAAACGTTTGAAAAAAAAAAGGTTCAAAATTTAGTTTTCTGCACGTTTCTCATCAAATTAGAGCATTTTGAAAAAAAATTAAGAAAAAATAAAGTTTGAAGTTTTCAGTAAATTCTTAATTTCGCATGTCATGTCGGTCAAAAGTTGAAACTTTTTCATGAAGTTTTTTTTTTTTTTAAGTTAACCCACACTTAACTCCTCAGCTGTTCTATAACCATGAAGCCAGTAAATGTTTGAAGCACCACTGGAGCTCTGTGCTCTCTTCATGTTTTCTTCCACAATCCTCTTACTCTTCAGATGTCGCACCTCTTCAAAGTGACCAATGTATTATTAACATGAGATTCAAGAGCGACCCGGGCTGCTTACACTCACAGCCTTTCACAGTTTTCTGTTTGTGCCACCATTTTGATTTTTTACTCTAGATATGGCGGTTTTTGCACAAACATCAAGAATGCACAACATCAGAGTGCAAGTGAATATTTCATGCGCTCAGTTGCAGGAAAAAGATCAGAAGTCCTCGCCCAAGAGCGGTCCTTCATCTCTCGAGCCCCTTCACGAAGGCGTTGTAATGACCATTATTCTTGGAATGATCTTGTTAAGTGCATGAAACATGCCAGAGAAAGTAGTGCTGGCTGATGTTGCAATGTGTCCACAATCTCAAGTGTAAAATATGAATGTGGGGCTGAGCTGCAGTGTCCCTGCAGCCCAAATGTCACAGTGCATCACACAGATTCATCCCTGCTCTATTCTGGCTTATTGCATTCAGGTCAATCAGTGACTAAAGCCTGAGGAACCAGATTCAGGTTAAAAAATAACAGACCAAAAAAAAAAGAAAAACTCTGAACTCTGCCAACCCTTGTTGCCACCACTAAGACTAAGAAAATACAGTTCAGCCAAAGTTCATGTCAATGGCCAGCGGCGATGTTGACGGGTCATACCTCACATAACTTTTCCATGTAATTGGTGAAGAAAGAGGAGGAGCCAGCTTTAGAATTCGCTCAGACAACTACTGTTGATTTGACACTAGGCATTTTCTTCACATCTGACCGCGGTACGCAGGGTCACTGATCGGTCAGCGTGTCGCTGTAGGCCGAGTGTATGCCTATGTGACGGTTCACAAAGCCGGATACAAAAAAAAAGCTAAGAAAAGCCCCAGAAATATTCTCTGTCTGAGTCTGTAACACACAAATATCAAAACAAGTTCACGCAGAGGTCAACGATAAAGGCTCCGCCTTAATGTCACAACAGAGTCCAGGACAGGACATGTTGTCATGAGGAATATCAGTTAGGAATAATCTGGATGGATCTGTCCATGGGCTCACAGTGACCCACTGTGGAGACACTTGTCATAACCCCCAGCTGCCATGAAGTACTGCTTTGTGCAAGGTTGTATAACTGATTTATCAGTTAAATAAATGCGTGTCTGTGATAACTTAAATTTATTTATTTTTTCTAATTATTTATACTGTAGGGAATAACGGAATAACTGGATTTGTAGTGGCTTAATTCCAAAACTGCCAAGTATAAAATAGGATTACACAAACTTGAAGACATGTTATATTGTTTTAAAAAGAAAAATTGATAATATTTTCAGGAAATTTGCCACTGGTTGTGACTCATATTGCTTATAATAATAATAATAACAATAACAACAATAACAATAATAATAATAATAATATCTATTAGTAGTAGTAGTATTCATATTATTATATTACTAATAATATATAATATTATTACAAAAGAATAACAATAATAATAATGATAATTAATCATCATGATTTGCAGACAAAATAGACCAAAGAACCGTGAATCTTTAAAAATTAGCATGAACAAAAGAAAACAAAATAAAATAAGTACAAGTTATTGACATATTAGGATCCAAACCTTAAAAACAACCACAACATTAAATGATTCAGCTTCTACAGAACAACTCTTTCCTTAATAAAAAGATACTGAAGTAAATGTTTTTGCACCAAAACAAAAGAATTCCACCTATGTAACGACTGTAGAAAATGTATCTACACAGTCAAACCTGTACTTGCATGTTGTCCAACAGCGCCTACGTGTGTTCAAAATATGAACTACATGACAAACGGAGACGCTAAGAAAATTAGTGATTTAAAAAAAAATTAAGAACCATTAAATAAATAATGCTTACTTTGAAATATGAATTGCAAATAGTATCACGTAATGAACTAGATAAATGTAATAAATGTATTAAGGTTAGATGTTCTTTGCATTGAGACCAAATGGGAAAAAAATATAAAAGTCACACTTAAATAATTCAATTAAATACAAAATATAAGTAAAAACCCATAAGTGTTGCCAAATAACACATTTCAATAACACATCAATTATTCTGAAAAAAATTGTTGTAAATAAAATGTTACAGTGAAGTTAAGATGTAGAATCAGTATCTAACATTAAAAATAAAAGCCAATTTGTTGGCTGCAGTGATTGACATCATCAGATGAAAAATTATATTAGCTTAGCTTAAACCTGCAAATGTGGTGCCTCTGTGACTTCACATTTCCTTAGGAAATATACAAATATATAAATCCATGTATTTGCAGTACTTCTGGAAAGCATTCACAGTGCTTGACTTTTCTTGTTTGTTTTTTTTTTCACTTTGCCATTAAGAGTATTGTGGGTAATATTTTGTGACTTTGACCAATAATAAAATAAAATAAATTGTAGTTAAAGTAAAGACCTGTACCGCAAATAAAATATAGTTAAAGTAAAGCCCTGTACTGTAAATACTTTTCAGCACACACAGTAAAACAAACAGTACTTTTATCTGCACCAGTTTGCAAAGTTTCATCTCTCTGTGGAAAACGAGAGACAAAAGAAAACACAGAAAATATTATTAATGTGTTTACATTAGTTCAGTCCTTTTATACACTCTTGTTTATTTACATGTACAACAACTGAAACTATATAAATATATGTGGTATTTGCCTCGTATTACAGTACCTCACACATCCATCAAGCAGATGTGTCAGGGCTGTTGGGTCGTTCCTCAGCTGCAGGCTCAACCAGACGCTTGTAGGAGCAGATCAGCATTATCTGCAGGTAAATAAACCAAATAAAATATATAATAACATAGAAAAAACACAAATAAACAAATAAAGCACAAAAATGTATTGTTGTTTTTTTCATTGTAGTACAAAATAATTTGTAGTGAAAAAGTGAGAGACATTTTAAATTACATATTTATTGTCTGTTGATGAGGTTTATTTTATTAAAAAGTAACATTTATACAGGTGCAGTTTTTAAATATATTAATATATATTATATAGTTATATTATATATAAATCATATTACACGTTCCACCTAAATATGATGTTCTAAAATCTGCACACAAAAAATAACATTAACAGACGTCATAAGAAACGTATGAAATTACTGACCATAGGTGTCAAAGAGCCTAAACATAACCTACCGTTATCAGTGCCAGCAGTGCCATCATGAGACCTAACATGATGTACAAGTTCTGAGTGAGACCACCAGCCCACAGGGGGGCCAGGATGGTGGCCAGGCCTCCCACTGAGCGACGCACTCCTTGACTGAAACCTGCAAAATTAAAACAAGACACATATAAATCAGAGCCGAAGCTGCAAAAAAAGTAAAAATCGAGCTTTCGGGGGACACTGTACCACCAACAAGGTCTGGTTTTCAAAGGCAGCACATTCTTAATTTAGACTAGTTGAGCCAGAACCAGAGTATCTCCTTCAGCCGTTGTGACTTGTGCATGCAAATTCACAATGTGTGAATTTGAACAAATAATTTTGAACAAATAATCCAGTGTAAATATGCACTAAAGATACTGTCAGAGTCGTACTACAATACTCACTTTTTTTTATCTACTCATGATGGTTTGCTGTTGTTTCTTACCCTGTGTCTTCTCTGAGGTGACTTTGGAGAAAAGAGACACCTGAGCCACAGCTACAAACGGCAGACCCAAAACCTGAAGGAAGACCCCTATAATGAACTCAGTCAGCTGCCAGGGAAAATCACCTGAGAGATTTAAAAAAGAAAAAAAAAGTAAATGTTGTTTAAGAATGAGAAATGTGTACTCAATTGCACAATATTGTCTTTTTTAGTACTGACAGTGGCAGCAGTGGCTGTTAGCCCATTTGAGTTTGAGACCCCTGATCTACAGTATGCGGTGTTCACTGACCCAGAGGCTTAGCCACGAAGATGAGGCACCAAACACCAGAGATGTTACAGATGGTCAAGCCAATGGCCAGTACCACGCGTTCAGTCACACGCCGACTCAGCCAGCGCACGAAGAAGAAACCGGCGATCACCTCCACACCGCAGAGACAGTACATGATGCTGTTCTCCAGCTCTCCGTAGCCAAAGTACTTCTGGGTCAATGGGGTCACCATAGTCTGGGGGAAGGAGGAAAGAGTAACATTTTGGTTTTCATCTTCTTACATGTTTACCTAAGGCGTCAGTTTGATGATGAAGCAAGAGGATGTCTACACAAAGAATGTGAGGGGTGTGTGTGTGTGTGGAGTGTGTGTGTGTTCACTGTACCTCCAGGGCTGTTTGATTAAAGAGGGTGATGAACTGTACAGCCAGCAGCACAACAACTTCTTCTTTAAGGAACTCTGGAGTTTCACAGAACACAAACAACAAGGTCATAATCCAGTGACAAAAATGGCCTTCTGTTAATGGGAAGAAAATAAAACTGGCCGTGGGCTTTGTGTTGGTGTCAAATCACCCACAGGGCTGCGTCACACAGCAGTATAAAACACAGCCCTCAAGTTCATGCACATCAAATGAAACCCAAAATGAATGTATTATCGGTCACTATACCTGTTATCTGAAACAAAAATACTTTTTACTGGATTTAAAAAAATAATTCCTGCAAATTAATAAATAGAAAGTCCACATTTATTTTGCTAGAATAAAACTATTCACAATCATGGACCAGACCGTCAACCACAACTGACCTTGATACACACTGTTGTTACTGGAGATGGACAACTCCGGCTGCTCTGATGACTCTTGACAGGAAGGTGGAGTGATGTGATTTATCTGGGCATTAGCGGACGTAGAGATGTGATTTTTCTGAGGCTGTGGGGTCCCCACTGAGCCGTAGGACCCCATCAACTCCTCAGATCTTATTAAGGGTTCTTCCTCATTATCGTCATCGTCCTCAGCCTCTTCCTCACTCCTGCTTGCTGAACTTGCCCGAACCTTTCCTTTTTCCACAGGTGGTAAATCCCAATACATGAAAACTACTACCAGCTGAAGGAGCGACCACAGCAGGCACATGAACAACTGTGGAGGGAAATGAAGGAGAGTTAGCCTGGTCTTAGCAGGTAAAATAATCGGTCAATAAGTTTTTATTTCTTTGTTTCCAAACTCACCCCAGGGGAAGTGTACTTATTGACTACAAATGGACCGAGGTCAAAATGACACAGCCTGAGAAAGATGTTAAAGGCTGGACCTGTAAAAAAGTATATGTATATATAAGTATATGTAAACATGTTTTTTAAACCAACGTTCACATTATTATGAATTATTTCAAATACATAACGTACACTAGAAATACTTCAACACAGAGCTCTGATTACTCAGACTATTTTTTATAGTATTGGTTTAATATGCCATCACATTATTGAAGGATTGGTAAATAATACTTCATAACAGGCGTCACTAAGATAAACACTGACCAATCAGAAGGCCAGCTTGTCTACAGGCCATAACTGCAGCAAACACAGTTGCACGGTCTTCCGAAGCAGTGCTTCTCGTCAGCAGGCCGAAGATAGAAGAGCCAGCACCGGTACCAATGCCTGACAAAGACAAATAATAGTGTTGCTTTGAAACATTCTTGTGATTATTCAATATTATAGTACATTTAACATTTTTTTTAACCATGCCTCAAATTTCTTACACAGTTAACATTTTAAAGAGATAATCAACATCAATCAACCTCAACAACGGTACAAAACTCTGATGTAATCAAGGTGGACTTTTATCTGTGTCAAAGTACATTCACTTGTTCTTTGTCTTAACTGAGACTAAGACTTTTTTCACTAATTATTTTGTCCAAAATCATTCAATGTAAATTATCACTGATCCCAATCCTGAGGATTTCACAGCTTTTGTTCTTTTAAATGTAGAATGAAAATACATTTTGTCTTAATCTGATCAACAGTATGACAAAAAAAAAGTCCACTGAATATATAATCAGTGTGTTGACAACTTACCTGCTACTAATCTGCTTGACAATAACAGCCATTTGGAGTAGCCCATGAAGTACATGAAATTACCTGCAGGGTTAAAAGTGAGATATTGGAGTAAAAGGCCGCATAAAAATTATATAATTTAGAAAAACAAAAGTACACGCTCTTACTTGACCCTAAAGGGAAAACCTAGGTGATAACTGCATTACTTGTGATTTTTTTCTTTTTTTAAGTCCATGCGTCAACTCACCAACTATTTCAAAGAGGTTGGCAAACAAGATGATCTTTTTGGTGGTCTGTGTTCTGTCCGACCAATGGCCGAACAGTGGTCCTACCAGGAGGCCACTCAAGCTGAACGCTGACAGACACAGACCCAGGAAGTAGGGTTGAGCATCTAGAGTTTGCAGGTATTTCCATATTGTAGGTAAGATTACAGCTGTTGTGAGACAAAGAAGAGTTCTTTCATTTATAAAAGCTCTTTCATCAAACCAGATTACATTTCCGGGCAAGAACACATGCAAAAAAGTATATTTTTTTTACCACAATTCCATCATCAAACCAGATTACATTTCCGGGCATTTCCGGGCAATTCCCAACTGAAAATAATGTTGCGAAATACCAAGACATTGAATGAACAATGTAGATATAATCTACAGAAGTGGCACAATTCTGTAACAATCAGTGTCACTGTGACCAGCATTGACAATTCAAATCCGCAGAAACTTTGATTGGGTGTGACAGCATTGTATCTGTGGATCACATGTGGCCCAGCCACATTAGAAATTATAGCATATTCTAGGAAAACAGATAACTAAAGAGATAACTAAAGACGAAAACACTAAACACACTCAATAGTTAAGAAGAAAACACTAAACACACTCAATAGCAGCCTTAACCGAAAAAATGTATCTTGTCAGACTTTATCCTACTTATTTATATACTTTCCCTATAATAGATTTAATAGTATCTTTGGGTTTAAGCATTAATAACACACACGATTATCACACATAAATCACACTGACACAAATATATGGAGAAACCAGCTATACAAGTTTAATAACATTAGTAAATAATGCCACTAATGCCAAATATTGCAAACTGGTGGTTGCAATTCTTTGTTATTGTTTTTAGTAAAGGGACAGAATAGCAATTCTTTGTCTAAAGAAAAATTTAACAAAATATATAAAACAATGAGTGCCTAAATTTAAGGTGAGATTATGGTGACAGGAGTCTATTTGTTGACTGGAAATGAATTACCATTTCAGCGCCATGTCAGATTTTTGTTTATTTAAAACATACTCTGCCAAAATTAAATAAAAACAATTACAAACTACTTCTAATAATACTAATTTCTTATTCAATCGTTTCTTTCGACGAGGTCATCGCTGTACTATAGATTTTCACTCTGTGGTTTTATTCATCAACAGACATTGACCCAATAACACCGACTTCCACAGTATTTATGAGGTTCGAGAAATAGAACGGGTAAAAGTGACATTTTTTTATCTCACCATATTCCACTCCACTCAGAAGGAATAGAAGTCCAATGGTGGAGAATGTAAGCTTCCTTTTCCGTCGATTGTCCATCTGCTGCTGCTATAATGTTTCACTGCTTCCACAACATGCTCTCACCGAAATCACCGCATCTGACATAATGCTGAGCGCCGTGCTTCTAATTAAAATGATCCAACAGTGACATATCACCAGGTCTACTGTCACCAGTCCCGACTGACATTCTTTCCATCCGGGGAGTGAACAGCTTCTTACATACTCCAACACTGTTTCAAGGTTTATGACGCACAACTCTAAGTAAACAAACAGAACAAATCTGGTAAGTTAAACCTGTATGGAAGCAAGCGCTGCCATGGACGACGCAGAAGGTTCCTGCGCGCTTTACGTTAGTGACGTCACATCCGGCGCACCTCATCTGTAGGATTTTTCAAGTCGTGGAATATGCAAGCAATAGGTTTGTGTTGCTTGCAAAACCTCTGATACTTTTGAAATAAATGTTTAAATGCTACATTACACTAAATTTTTTTTTAAAAAAACTACTTGAAATAAATTATATGTTGAAATTTGGTCAGGATTTTTTCATCAATTTTATATTTGGCAAAGCTTTTCATGTTTGTTGAGGCATTTAAGATTACCATGGCATCTTTCAGTGTTTCCTTGAGTACTTTTTGCATTTTCCTTCTCAAAATCTGCTTTAAAACGCGAGTTACAAGACTAGCAGCTTGATCCAAGGATGTTTTTGGCGTTTTCTTCAGAAGTTTAACTTGTGTATGACTGAAAAACCGACTCGGAGATAATTAATAAAAAAAAGATAAGGCGACAGTCTTTAAAAGCCAAGTACTCTTTAAACCCATCATGTTCATGAAAATGATGGACATGGACATGGTGAATTTACTCTGAAAATAGCCCACGGAAAGTGTTGTTTGTGGCCATAAAGATCCACATCTTTGACATTCATACCATGATTGGTGGATCATGATGGAGGATAAAGCGTAGAAAGAACACATTCTTTACAGTTAAGCTGCAGCTCGGGCCTGGACACTAGTCCATGACACTGAGTACCGATGTCTTACCATGTGCCTGCCTTCAAATGAAAGCAAATCCTGAGCAGAGTTCTCAAACTCAGCACAAAACCGATTCTTAATCTGTATTCAGTGAATTCTATTCTGTTGCTTTACAGAGATATCAACACCAAGAAACTACACAATTTGATTAAAAATATTTCATTTTGCAGTTATTGATATTTTAGATTTTTTTATAGGCTACAAGGACTTTCTACAGTCTTAATATTTAAATCACTACTTTGGACTTTGGCAAACGCAAGGAGCCACTGAGTGTCCTCATCCTGTGACATTTATTATCACTGGCTCTAAAGAGGCTCTGTTGCAAACAGAAGCTAACTCTCCTTCCTTAATTCAGTTTTCTAGCTCGATCATGTCCACACTTTAATTTGTTGCCACTCAAGCAAATACAAGGCAATTACAAGTGGCATCCTGGAAGAGAACATTGCACGAGACAACAATATACGAGCAGAGACAGAAATAACTGTATTTTCCTAAATATACTTTAGGATTCATGTTGAGGTTCTGAGTGGAAACTAAATTGTTTTATTACTTGATTTAGAATTAGAGGGGATTTTATAAACCAGCATGGGCTGGATTTAATGTTTGACACCAAACAGACTTTACAAATGATAAAATCAACTTTTATGTCATCTGTTAAAAAGTACATGTAATTACACATATACCAAAGGCAGCAGAAAAACAAAACCAGTTTAATTTTTATTAAAAGAAATATTTATTTACATTTTAACTGCAGATAGACTGTGCGGCCATTATAAGTGTTCCAGTCTTTAGTCCTTTTTTTCTGAAGAAAATGTTGCATCACTGTTTCACCAACATTTCCGTTACAGTTCGAGTGAAAAACTCCAGATACGCCAGAATACTCCAGACATGAGCCTTTGACTCTGTGAATTGTGGTCAATAATGTAAATTATGAGTAGGATTACAAAAAAAAGAGCTTTAGAAGGCCAGTTTCTTCATGAGCAGGTAAACCCTGGCGTCCACCTCAAAGCCGTGAAGGTTGTTGGCATCTCCCTGGAGCCTCATGAGAAGGCCACCATAGGAAGCATAGGCAGAGCTGAAAGGAGGGGCAAGTCCATCATGTAAAACTAATACATGATTTAGAATATTACAATGTATATATTATAGAAAATATTTCAATCTTCAACAAAAACAACCCACAGCAATCATGCCAAAAATTCTAAAAAGTTTGTTTGCTTGGCTTATGAATACCAAGCAAGTAACAATGTGTAACATCAACACTATCACAAAAAATCCATAATATGTATTTTAATAACAGTTACCACCAGTTCTGCACCATATTCATGTTGTTAACTGTAAAATGTAAAAATAAAATATAACAACTTTACTCACAGGCGTGTTGCTGCTTCTGTTGAAGTTTCATCACCTTCAATCTTGTAAACCTTCCCATACATCACATAATCAAACTGGTCTGCTCTAAACATTTGACAGAATCAATGAGAATGTTAATATCAGATAGTAAACAAACCGCACATGCATGCAAACAGCATTAAAAGGCATTTTCTAACTCTTACATTAACTACAAATGAAATTAAATGACTCACCGTGATGGTCTGTCATCTTGTGGATTATACTCTCCATCATCTGGTGTTCCATCTTCATATAAAGTGCTGGCAATGACCAGTCTGAACTTATCACCTAGAGAGGAATATTATACTGATTGTTCTTTTGTCTCAGAATTAGCATTTGATTGGTCACTTTTTTCAATATAAAAATACTTTTGGACAAAGATAGATTGTGCACATTTATTTAAACAACATGGTGAGAGATAAATATTGTGAGAATTGCAAATTTCAGACAACAATTTGACATTCTTACCCAGATCAACAGGAAAGATCTGAATGTTCACATCCAATATAAGGTCCATTTTGAAAGATTCACTTTCACAATGCAGACGAGACACTATAACAAATAACACACACAAGAGATTTCAGCCACGTAATATATAATTACAAAAAAAGAAAAGGTTACTTATTCACACACCTCTGTCGAACTTTTTTCCGTCTGGATCAATATCTTTAACATCAAAGATGTCCTCAAACAGAATTCCAGCCATTGCGGTTGAGAACTATAAACTAGAAAAATAGTATGGAATAAGGTAAACATCATCCATGCATAAGAAACATAACATCCTATTATGGGTAAGTATCTCATCAAAAACACTAATTAACAAATAGGATCATGGAAAACACAAAACTTGTGATTCAAGATTGGGTATTTTTTAATTTGACACGTTAATGTCGCATGTGTTACATTTCATTACAGTTAACAACGAATAACTTTTGACCTGTTACACGCATCTTTACATGTCGATTATGAAAAAAAAGCCAAGTAGCTAAGAAATTATTCCGTTTGCTTTAGATTTTAATGCAAGATCAAAGTAAACACGAAAACAGATTGCATTTACTATAGCAGACGACTATGTATTAAGAGTTTTCAAAAAACGTGTAAACGAAAAACAAACGAAACAAACGAAAAACAAACAAACAGCAATGATTTTAAAAAGACTTATTTTCCATCTTGCTGGCATAAAATGCATAGGAAAATTTAATTTTACTAAACGTGTTTACATCTGCTCCTTTTTTAACAGCACAACAGAGCAGACAGGCTAGCTCTTAGCTTTAGCATCATGTGCCATAAAGTTCTACCACTTACCTCAATGAAGTTGAAAGTTTGTTTTGTATCGTTCCAAAACTGTAGCTGCGGTCGTTCGGCCGCAATCCGTTAACTCGCAATAATAACCGCTCTAAAACACAATTTCATTCATTTCAACACGAACCACAACGCTCGGAAACATGTGCACCACCATTGACATACCGACTGCTTCCGGTCCAATTATTAACTTAGAAATACAGTATTGCTTTTAAATATGTCAACAGGTATGAAATAAGCAGTATAAAACAAACATTTGACTTGAACATTTTGTTTCTAATTCTAAACGATGGATAAACTATTATTATAAACTATTATTATAATATATATGTTAATGACTTACCTGTCAACACTTTCAGCACAATTGTACATAAAACTTACAATAGAAACCTTTTCTTCTCGAACAACTGTCACTGTTATTTTTTCTTGTTAGATTTTGAGTGGCGCGAAACAATGAGATTCACAGAGACGCACGACAACGCATCTGCGACTTTCGCGTCTGCTTTCCGGCATGTGTTTTCAGGCCATTTGGTTGCTAGGTGTTTTAGCGTCCTTTCTGTGTATGGTTGCTAGCTAATAGCTAATGAGCCTTCTGTTGTAAGTGAAGTAAGTAAACTTTGAGGAAAATGGAGACCACGGGTATTAATTGTGGCTGATCGCATTCGGAGTGACCAAGGCCGTGTCATTAACAGGTATAAAAAATGCAGTAAAGGTGAGAATTGAGCTACGTACTATTATTAGCTTTAAAAACACCTAGTCTTTCGCATGCCATAGGATCGTAGTTGATATAATAATTTCAGAAATCAATAGCTATTCACCATATCTAATCGTTTTAGGTCAAATTTCCTGGGTATTACCGTACACTTAAAATGCAATGTCTGTTAACAACAAAAACTACAATCGTTTTTACATTTGTTCAAAAGGCCATTTATTCACATTTTATTTGAAACAGATAGGGCCGAAAATGACGTTTTCGTTCATCATTTGCTCTAAAGAAAAGCACGTAATCCACCCAGATGCATTCTAGTTACTTACTAAATAATCTGCCGACGTAACATGGTAATAACCATCTTAAATATATCTGCTGAGCTACTGTTCTCCTGTATCGTTTGTACTGATTTTTATAGGTGCTGCAGAACATTTCGTTGAAATCCAAGTTGTCTTTCATGAAAGCAGAGGTGTTTTCAGAAAGTAGGTGTTGGACTGTTTTGAATTACCACATGAACTCCAGGGATGAAGCCAAGATGGGTGACATCTTGGCAACAGAAGCTGATCTCCTCGGGATGATAAGAGAGGTAAAATAACATACAATATTTACTATTTAACTATTTAAAGTGTACAGCCATATCTGAGATTTGCATCTTGTTAAAAACATTTTGTCACTTTTGCCCCGTTTTTAGTTCCTGAAGTTTGTGGAATTTGACAACACAGTCCACAGTTTTGACAAGGACTGTAAAAGCAAAGGCAAACTCGTGTCAAAGCCTCAGGGGAGTAATCTCAGAGACTCAAAGACACGTGTTATTCAGGTAATTATATGAACTCCTGGGACTGATCTTCTTTCTGGTTAGACCTCAACATGTGTCTATCATTATTTATTAACTAGTTAATATATTGTATTTCATCTGGACAACAAGTTGCAGTCATAAGTAAACTTTGTTTTAACTCAATCAAAACATTAATGTTTCATTCCTGGCTATTTCCAGAAAGACCTCCTTTACTGCTTTGAAAATGGAGATTACAAGGTGTTCTTTGAGCTGTGGGCAGACAATGTTTCCTCTGAGGTCATTGACACAGATGCTGAGGCCCAGAGACTGGAATTTTACCTTCATGTCCATTTTGCCATCTTCCCATTTAGAATCCACCCTGGTCGACATGTATGTAAAGACACCACTTTTTTCTTTTTAAACAGACAAGTTACTGCCTGAAACTGAAACGTGTAATTTCCTTGATGTCCACTAAGTTGTGCTGTAGGCTTTTTTTTATGTCTGATGTTGTGACACAACATGTCTGCCAGTAGATGATGCCATTTACATATTAAGGAGAATTATATAAACGTGATAAAATTATGATATGAGAAGGGATAAAACACTTCCACAGTTGTACCTGTTTTTGTCACCAGGACCGAGCTGAGTTTGAGGAGAGAATTACCCACTTTAAGCAGTACCTGGAGACACGAGGAGCAGCACTGAGCCAGACCACAGAGTTCCTTCCTTATTACGCCTTGCCTTTTGTTCCGAACCCAACCATTCACCCCTCCTTCAAAGATCTTTTCCAGGTGCTTGTTTCATAATGTGTCATTATCTAGATCATGTGTGTCAAACTCTTTGACTTATGTGATCTAGATGTGTACTGTTCACTACTTGTTCTGATATTTCTATTCACTGCCACCTTCACTGTCCACATCACAATATTGTCTCCTAAACTGCATTATATTCAGGATTCCTGGATTCCACATTTGAACAATAAGCTGCAGAAGTTTCTGTTGGTGACACTGAAGCCAGCTTTTCTCCCGAGGTTGCTGAATTTATACGTATCCTTTATTACGTTGCTGTTACTGATGTAAACACATTCGTCAAAATTCATTCACATGTATGTTTTTATCCCAGTTGATGGGAGAAAACAGTTTTTCTGTTGAACAACACACATACGCAGAATGGACAAAACCGTCTGTGTCGCCTCTGAGTCGCCTGTGGGACGTTTTTGAAATACCCAGTCTTGACAGTCTGAACTGAACTGGGTCCTTGGCAGTGTTATCCAAATGAACTGCCAGTTTGCAACTCCACAGAACTGTTGTTTTACTGCACCTGACAACACTAACAAACTTGGCCAACAAGAGTGAACAACACTTAATAAAACGTTGTTTCCCTCACTGCAGTTTTTTTTAAATTGTAAATCAACTAGTGGTAAATGTACCTCTTCAGCTTCAAGCTTCAGCTCTTAATCCGACTGATAAATGAAACAAGAGCAGATAATATGCCAGTCGTGTTCTGTTAATTTTAAATATTATGTATTCTTTAACTAGAAATGTGTAGAAGGAAGGCGGGAGGAGCACAAAAGGTAAATATCCTTCTCAAACATTACACCTTTGTTGATTTTTCCAGCTATTTTATCTGTCCAGTCATCATATCATTAACCAAGACACCAAACACTATGCCACCACAATTTAAGTTGGTAGAAGGGAACAGAACAGAACAGAAATATCATTTGTAAAATCTTGACAGAGTATGAATCATTTGTGAACATTTGTGTAGAGAAATAGAACCTCTTGTGGCCCAAAACAAGAACAATAACCAAAGTACAAAAGATAAGAAAATGTGTTACTCAGCTGTAATTTCAAGCATCACTCAGGGAGTAAGGGTAACTTTTCACTGATAAAACAATTTTGTTTTGTTTTTTCAGTAAAAGTGGTGATACTTAATTTAATGTAAAAACATTAGAATTAATTCACGGTGCTGCAACATCACATCTCAAGAGACATTTTTATAAAAGTCACCCAGGAGCTGCAAAAAGCATTTCATTAAGGCATTATTGCAGTGTATGACATTTTAAGTACTGACGTTATACTAAGAGTACAGATCCCCAATTCAAGAGATCAGCAACACTATGTTTTTTAGCATTTTAATCAATCTTACAGGGAGCCAGTGCAAAAAGTCCAGAAAGAGCCGCATGTGACTCAGGAGCCCCAGGTTGCAGACCACTGCTGTAGTGGAACAACTCATGAGAGACAGTCTAAGATCTGTGTGATTGAAATGAAGCTTCTCTTATGTGTTTGTTTTTATTTTGTGGTTGTTAAGAGGCCATGCAGCAGCTGCAGCTGCAGCTTGTAGAATCAGACCGACGCGTCTCTAGCTACATGAGAAAGTTCAACAAGATGCAGGCCGACTACCACAACCTGATTGGGATCACTGCTGAGCTGGTCGACTCTTTGGAGGCCACCGTCAGCGGAAAAATGGTAGGTCAGCTCGACTGTGTGGTAAACAAAGACACGCACATACGCACACATTCTAACACAAGCACGGACACAGACCGACACAAGCAGGGACACAGACTGTCCCTGCTTGCCCCAGACTGCACAGGTGTGAAAATAGACACGCAGAATATACTGTACGTATATGTATATATATACACATAGCTGGTACTGCAAAATGTTCTGTAGTTGAGTAATACTCTTGGCAATTTAATAGGTTTGAGCAACAGGATGATGTATAAAAGGAGCATTAACCATGGACTTAACTAACCTGCATGCGGTCCAGATCTGTCTCCTATATCTGGCATATTTAATGAAGCTGAATCAGAGAAATATATATAGAGATATTTTCTTTTGTCTCCCTGTCTCATAAATTAAGGCTGAAGTGCATTAGTTAAGTACAGTTATCAGTTTTTATTACATATTGTTTCTACGAGTCTCTACACGGCCCAGCAGTTATTGACGAAGCCACCCACGAAGCTCAAAAAGCATGTGGTGTGTTCACAGATCTCCCCCGAGTACCTGCAGAGTGTGTGTGTTCGCCTGTTCAACAACCAGATGAGGAACAGCATGGTACAGAGCACCGACTTCACCAGGCCTGGCACAGTGAGTGGGAGCACACAGCCACTTCCACCCCCCCACCTCACCCCCCCTTCCTCTCGCTCCACCTTCTCCTCCTCTTCTCACACCTTGACACACAATGTACTGAGTGCACAATGCCCTTTGCTAGTTTATGGGAAATGTGGAGTGGGTGGTGCAGATAAAGAAGTTAATACAATCAGTGAAAACTGTTCCCAGGACACCTACGTCATAGCTACTAGTCAATGTGATAGTGTTTCTGGTTAAAGTACTTCATAACATGCTCTTTGTTCCATTGAGCTCAGCAGGGTTTATCATTGTCATACTTTTATCCAGAGGGGAAAATAAAGAGATACGTTTATAATTGAATACATTTATTAGCTGATGAAATGTTTGTTACACAGCTCTGAAAAAAACAAAACAACAATCCACTTACTGTAGCGTGTGAGCTGTTATTAAAATCTAATCAGGGTGGTTAGTAAAAAAAAAAAAAAAGCTTGTGGTTGATTTCCATTTTGGTGCATGTCTATTTTGGCACCTTTATGTAAAAATTTGAAAGATTGAAAAAAGAGAATTCATCCAGAGCGACTCTTGACCAATCACACCTGCTGTCTTTGAACTCTGGCTCATGAAACCTGTTTCCTCCTCTTGTTTTAAACTAATTGTTTGTGTGTGTTTGTGTGTGTGTGTTTGATGCTTTTGTCCACGAAGGGATATTACTCTATGAGTCCTTATGATGATGGCTATGTAAGTTTCATACGTTTTCATCTTCATACCCCTCTCCTCATCACTCAGGCCCCCGTCTGTCCTCTTGCTTGTCCCCTGCCTCGTCACCTCAACCCACTTCTCCTCCTTTCCTTGTTTTTCTGTACTACATTTATTTACTTACTTAAATATCACATTGTCTTGTGTTTTTTTTTTGTTTCTACACAAATGTTCTGTTTAGCAGTCATTTTAGTATTTCCCTCCACGTTAGTCTGTTATTGTGATATGGTCACATACCTTTTGCCACAGTCTTTGCCCCCCCGTTCCCCTCAAGAAATTTAAATTAATAAAGAGCAATAACAGCAAAGGAATATCATTTTAAAAACCATTACCAGCCGTCAGATTAAATCCCAGAGGGTCTTAAAGCCAGCAGTTGGCTTTAATGCTGTGGTTTATCAGGGAATATCTGCTTCCTGTTTTGAAGGAAGGATCAGTAACGTAATTTTAAATGGATTTTGTTGTCACATTTGGTTTTCTATATGAGCATGGCAGAACATTAAAAAACACATGAGATTTTGCTTATGCTCATTGCCCAGTAACATTTTCTGTAAATATAAGCAGATATATTTATATAAATATATTTTAAATATAGTGAGTTCCGCAGTTCAATTCTCTGCTGCTCACCACAGTTTATGTGGGTCATATGTGGTGTGGTTTATATGATTTCCTAACACCCATTGAACTTGACTTACTGTGTACAGGGCGCAGTGTTCCAAGGACCCTTGTTGAGAACTACTTGTTGACACAAATGGGTTTTATTTTCTACATTTAGGTCAGACTGGGGTAAATGCTGTTGTCGTACAAAAGCCTCAGCTTCAGATACCATCAGTTGTCTCTATGGTTTTAAAGGGGTTAAAGGTTGAAAGAATCACTAAAGATCCATAGGATTTAACGGCACCGCGTGTGTGTGTGTTAAGTGTATTGTTACGTATTGAGGACAAGCCTTGGCTTCATTGGAAGCCGACTTTATAAAATGAGTAGACCTGGAAATAAAGACTTTTACGACCTTGTAAAATGACAACATATTTTGACTTGACATTTACTACATTTGTTTTTTACCATATTTTGACTTGACATTTACTACATTCGTTTTTTACTTACTTACTGTAGTTTTTAGTAAATTTCTGTGGCAAGACGTTACTATAAAGTCCAGTTGGTCGCCCCATTCACCCTGAACAGTTACACCTACAGAATTAATTAATAATCAAATTCCTGAAAACCTTTAGCAGATAGCTTCTGATAGCTACTAGGCAGCCTAACGAACAGCCGTTTGTCATTTTTGCACTAACCCTTCACTCTTCTGTCATTTGTTTTAGTGGCCACATTAACTTCTACTCCATCATTGACTGCATGTGTGATTTTAACAAACAGTATTACCATGGTATTTCCTGGGGGTTCAGCATGTACCACAAGCATGATTAATGCATGAAGGATAAGAACAGTAATTAGACTGTACTGTAGTCGTCATCGTTGTTTTCAGACTGAAGACCTCGGTCAATAAGACGGGCAGCGACTAAAGAATTGCTGGCAAAGATAATTAAATAAATAAAAATAAAAACAGATGCCATACATTTCCTTTGCAGTTTATGTCAGTATTTGATCGGCTCCATCACGATACAGTGTTTAAGATTTTATTTATACATGTCCTTGTCTTTTCTGGGCCTCCTCCGTCCCACAGGCCTCCTCAATGCTACGAGCGTCCATCGCACCGCAGTAAGTCTTACGTTTGATCGCTTTAACTGAACGCTGCTTGTAAAATATTGTGTACTATTAATTTTTCTTTTTTATAATTCACTTTAAGGAAATCCAAGGATGTGCCGATGCTTCCTTCCCTGGACTACGACAAGCTGAAGAAAGACTTGGCTGAAGGACCAGACAGACTCAGGTCTCTGCTGCTGCAGGCACTGCGGTGGGTCGGTATCAGAAATCCTCCTTCCTATTCACCTCTGTGTGTAATACTCTTAGTCCTATAGTACGTGAGTTTATTTCCTCACTCTTTGTCATCAGCTATTTGTTGCTGAAATTGACCAACATTAAATGCTGATTATTTGGATTTAGGAAAGTCTCTTAAATGGACATGTGACATCATTATTTATAAAGTTGGACACAGGTCAAATCAGTTGTTACACAGTCTGAAAATGCCACCAAAACAGCATGCCTTGTTTTCAGTGTGTGATTTGTAGGTTAACTGCTGGTTAACCTACAAATTCAAATAAAAAAATGTTCAGTTTCAGTTGTTTTCAGTTCAACTGTTTTAATCTTATGAATCAGAGTCATCGTCTGTTCTTGTCAGAGAATTTGCAAATAATAAAAAAAAAAAACTTCAATTTAAACCTTCCAGACAGAGCAGGTTTGAACAACGGTGTGATACAGCATCAGAGAAAGATCATTTAGATATCAAATTAAAAGTCTGTACTCACTGTCTGTGTGCAAGTATCGGCCTGACTGTTGTGTCTCTGTCTCACACTTTTCAGAGACTCACTCGCTCTCTTCCTGGTGAGCAAAGAGACACCGTCCTCCAGGCCTATATCAGTAATGATCTGCTGGAGCGATACAGCGCCGAACAGGTGGGACCACCACCTGGAATTTTTCAAAATAAGATTATCTTTTGAAACAATTTCTTTCAATTTTCCTTAACCTAGAGGCCCCTGGATTGTTCTAAATCACCACACATTCAACTGTAGTGAATCTACTTCACTGTGTTCTGCAATGAAAATATATGGGCTATTTTATTATATTTTATTATATATATCATTATATAAATCTATTCCATTCTACTCTATCCTATCCTAAGCTCCAATTGACCTTTTTTCCGACCTAATTCACAGCTCAGATCAACTTATTTCAAAGTCTCTGTTTCCATACCCTGCAGCTTATTCCCAAGTCTGACTATGTTTGATGCAGAAATCAGAGCTTAAGTAACAAAAATAGCTTCCTGTCCCTGGGACGCCTCTATTTATTGCCCAGGCTCTTATTTCATGTGAATTTTGACTGGCATTCACCGGTTTGATCTTACACATGGTATAAATGCTACAGTCTGGCTCAAGGGCATCGAAGGGCGAAAAGCGGTGGCAGACAGAAGATCTCAGATGTCAGCCATATCATCTTGGGATTCCGTCGTGTTACAGTGATACTCTAACGTCTCATTCTTAATAATTCAAAAGGGAATAATGGTTTGGTCCCGTCATAATGCCCACACGTGGCTTTTGTGCTTTTTGATTATCGAGATCACGTAGGATAAATGCCAGTGACGTGCTAATGCTAATTCTTCAGGTTAAAGGCTGGGCTGTTTTGAGTTAAATCACACCGAAGGCGGAAGGAAACACTATACAGCAGTTTTAGTGTTCTCAAAAGGTTTTGAAAAGTGTTGATTCACACGTCCTTCCAACATCTTCTCTTTTCTTTCTTTTCATGCAGCCTCACTTAGCCTTTAGTCATAGGGCACCGTTCTAGAGATAATCCTTTTACACAGAAGAAAATGATCATCACCTTAGAGAGGTTCTTTGTGGAGGAACTTGCTCGAAAACAATGGGGTCATTTTGTATAGAGATGCACCATTACAGTGGCCCAGTGTCAGCTTGATGTAATGGAATAATATTGTAGTTTTCTACTGATCAGAAAGGTTTGAGTTGGTTTTAACTGTTCCTGTAAATGTGTAATATAAGATGTACTGTTAAGGACATTTGAATTCTTATTGCCTTGTTGTTTTTTTTATAAATGAACTACAGTGTATTTTACCCCATATTGTCATTGTGCAGTTTGTTTTTCTGGCATTGTTTAATGACTCAGATTTGGATTCTTATTTCTATTTATATTAAACTACCTGTAATTTTTTTTAATCCGTTTTCACAGACAACTGTTCTCCATCTCATAAGGTCGAAGGACGAGATTGTCCAACAGTACATGGCTCGGCTTATTAATGCTTTTGCATCCTTTGCAGAGGGTAAGTGCCGGAGTGCCGTCCCATTAGGGTTAAGGGTTATTATCCCTGTGATGAGTCATACGGCAGTCTAACTGGATGCATTTGTAGTATATAGAAGCCGTCAGGCTGGACTTTTCCAAGCAAAAACCACAAATGAAAACCAGCCTACAGTGTGTCTGTAACTGTAGACAGCCTAGTTTGTATACCACTCTGTGTGACTATGATGGATAAGATGAAAATGTTTCTGGTTTGATAAAATGATAAAAATAACGCAGAGCAGATGTAACCCGACGCTGCTCAGTTGTGAGTCTCTCAAAACAACGCACGCCGTTTCTGGTATCTGGACGATGACTCATGATAAAATACTTTTGAATCATGTTACTGCCACGGCCCGAGTGTCAGCTTTAAAATTGATAAGTAGATAAACCTTTGTGTTTTCCTCACAATGGTTCTGTTTAATATGGAACAATGGGTTTTCATTTCTGAGGCTGGTGGATCTAAAATAACTGATTTTTGGGATTTTGACACCAGACACCTGAATGAGCATCTGATGCCTTCACATATATATGTATATTTGTTTTTCCTTTACAGGCAGGGTTTACCTCTCTCAGATCCACATTCTACTCCAACTTTTGACAGAGACGCTCAGAAAAGAGGAAAAGGAGTCACTGACCAGAGAGAATGTGTTGGTAGCCCTGCAGAAACTTAGCCTCAGGTACAAATAAAATGTCTTCACAGTTCACAAAACCTCACAAGCCATAAATATTGTTCTGGTGTGCACGGTTGTTTGTCCGTAAAATGCGGCCCAGTGATGGATGGAGTAGATGTGTTAATGTTTAACGGAATCCTACAGCCCGTATATCAACAGTAAAACCCTGCCTTGTCATAATCTCACTTTAAAATACTTATCAAGTGTTTGACCTTAATTCAACCTTAGATCAGAACTTTGTGCCGTGGGCAGTTTAAACCTGCACAGCTGTAGATTTTCTCTAAACTGTAGATGATCATTCTGGATTATATAAATCCCAAATGAAATACAATAAAAGCAGTAAAATGTGTGTTAGAGAAATAGTTTGGACTAAGTGGTCAAACACAACGATTCATCAGCGTGTCTTTGCAGGAGGGGCCAGCAGACGGCCATGATAGCTGACGATCTGATCGCCTGGTTGGTGGACGAACTGCAGGACTCTGACTGTCTCACCGACAATGCCCTGGAATATTCCGCAGCTCTACTCATGAACTTGTGTTTGCGCACCAAAGGTAAAGCAGAAGACATGTTGACATGTTACAGTAGATGTCATTGTTACTGTGAAGTTGTTCACACATCAAGAACCGTACACAACGTCAACGTACAAATATCAACGACGTGCCGTCTCTTATTTGGACACACTCAGATTTCTCTTTGATGTTTCCACGTGTCCTTTGACAAATCCTCCAAATGTTTGATATGACACACACACTGCCCAGTATTTTTATGGTCTTCATGGTTTTACAGTTTTAACGTTTTATGACGAGCATTTATGGTGGATGTTAAAAATAATTAAAAAATGTTCTGCCACTGTTATAGAACGTCATATAAATGACTCCTGTTAGTCATTCTTAAACATTCATTGAAATTATTGTGTGTGTGTGTGTGTGTGTGTGTGTGTGTGTGTGTGTGTGTGTGTGTGTGTGTTGAATGGCTGACCTGGTGCAGGAAAGAGGAAGTGTGCAGAGAACGCCAAGCACGTACTAAAGGTTTTAACTGACCTTCTTGGACATGAGAACCACGAGGTGATTCATACATCTGTCATTATGTGGCACACACACACACACACACACCATAAACCCTCAGTTACACACTGTTCCAACAACTACCATCCATCCAAATGTATTTCATACTGAAACTGAAAATTTGAGGAACTGACTTACGATTGTCAGGCAAATGTTCTGTTGCTCCACATCTGCAGTAAATGTCAGGTCTACGTTTCTGTCTCCACGTGGCCTCAGCCGATGCTCATTGCTTTTCTCCCTCAGATTCGTCCATATGTGAATGGAGCCCTGTACAGCATCCTGTGTATTCCCTCTGTGAGACAGGAAGCCAAAGAGATGGTGAGATAACGCCAATGTCTTCACCTGCTCTGAGGAAACAGACAGAGACACAGTCTGTGTTTTTGGGCCCTGTATTTGTCTTCCCTCATGTCACCAAGCGGCCGGTGGTTAAAGGGGAAACAGCAGGTGGTTCATGTTTGTCAGACGGGAAACATCGAAACCACAGTTACAACAGCTTTTGTCTGCATCGTCTAAAATGTGCATTTTTTGCACATCTCTTATTACAACTGCCTTTAAAGAAAGGCTCAGTGTTAGTGTTGTTGTTTGTTTATATTTGCTGTAATCATGTCTTTGCCTCCTGAGAACAGAGCGTAGAGGAAATTCTCCGCTGCTACAGCAAAGAAGGAAATCCAGACCTGAAAAGACAAATCGAGTTTATTATTAAACAACTGAACTCAGGTAAAATAGTCACATTGTAATAATAATAATAATAATAATAACACCTGTATCAGACCTGTTCCGCTCTGTGGAATTTAGTAACATGGCTCAGTGACAGAATTAACGACTTAATGATTTTTAAAATAAAAAAAAAAAAGTCAAAATAATACTTCTTTCAGACTAACAGGACAGACCTAGAAGAGGTTTTATTTTGAATATGTACTGATCCTTGAACGATCGTGCCTTGGTTCAAAACTGTTTGGCACTGCTGCCATAATGTATTTATCTATACATATACTGTATAATACATATTTGTTTAACTTCAACTTAACAGCATGTATTCAAAGGATAAGAAACTTTTAAAAAATTGTGCCTTTATCTCCGACAGCTGAGGAAGAAGGCCCTGAATCAGACGATGAAGAAGACGAGGACGACAATGATGTACGTCTTTCTTTAGGCTCTAACCACACTCATAGGTTGATGCTTTATCCTCACTGTTTAATAGGATCATCTATACATTAATCCCGCAGAACTATAGGAATGTGTCATCAGTCAAAAGAGAAAAATAACACAACAAATTTGAGAGGAAATGAGGGTGAGAGAAACAAGGAAAGAAAACAACACCTTGTATTCAACACCTTTTCTGCCAAACACTCAGATGGAAATCACTGCGTGACACAAATATATCAGGTGTCTGCCAATGTAGGCTATCAAGATAAGATACATGTTTGTAAGTGGGAATAGCTGCAGCTTCTCATGTTGTCCCAGTGGTATAGACTGCACTGTTATTGGTGAATTATGGATCGGTGCCCGGCATTGTTCCCGTAGGCTCATATCACTGTCATTGTGAACATGTGACCTTCAGTCTTTGTTCACCAACATCTCCTAAAAAAACGTGAGCATGGAGACATACAGTGATTCTAATGAAAACTAATGAAAATTATTGTTATTGTTGTTTTTTTTTATAATTCTACAACAGGAAGATTTAATGGAGTCGGACCTGGACAAAGAAGAAATCCTTCAACCCCAGCCCCGAGAGCTATCTGGGGAGAGTTTGCTCACCACTGAGTATCTGGGGGTAAGAGAATATTTGTATATAATAACTATAAGAGTGAAAAAAAAACTTTGAGTTTGAAACCTTTTGCCAGTTGTGTTTCCTCCAGAGAATTCCTTTTGGGAAGTCTTTCTCCCCAGGTCACCCTCTGCTTCCTTTCTGAAATGATGGAGCAAAAGGTTTTGGTTAAAAGTTTGCTCCAATTTCAAAAAATGTTATTTTTTGCGATTTTTGAAAAACCTGAGAAAATTATAGCAAACATCAACCCTTAACAAGGAAATAATGATAAATCCATGTAGATGTCTTAGTCACTAAAATCTGACACCCTTTGAAATGATAACTGTCCTAGAACCCTTTGACTTAACCTATATACTGTATGTGGTTCAATGAAGCTGGTCTGTCTGTAAACATTGAGTGATTGTGTCTGCTGATGATTCCCACTGGTTTAAGATGCAGCAGATAAAAAAGAACAATAGCAGACAGACAGCAGAGTCTGAAAAGGCTTTTACTGCCGTTTGCTGGGTCCCTTGTGTGTTTGTTTATGTGAGAGAACGAGCATGTGACCAGCTGTTGGCTGATTGGACATTGGTTATTCATTTACATTGCTAAAAATGTTTTGTTAACGCTACAAGACCAGCAGCAAAGTGCATTTTATACATTTTAAGGATCACATTTCGTGTTTATTTATTGCTTATTTCACATAACTCCTTCTAGAGTCAGTCCTGTGTTCTTCTTGGTTGTTGTACAGATCATGACCAACATGGCGAAGGTCAAGAGAAACTCTGCTCCTCTGAATCAAGCCAGAGCAGATGAACCCTTACAGCGGCCGGTCACACCGAGTTCTCATCGCACGTCGGGGTGAGTAACAAAACAGACTCAAGAGACGACACTCATTTTTTGGTTTGAAGCTGATGGAAGTAACACGATAAATAAATATTTTGCAATTATTATACTGTAATAGTATCCTTCATGTGGCGTCATGTGTAGGCATTATCGAGTGGGCGGTCAGGAGAGCAGGGATTATCCGCTGAGCAGACAGAAAAGTGAAAGTGGAAGTCTGCCTCCTTCTCGCTACAACTCCAGACCTCCTACTCGCTCCGGCAGCCGCCCCAGCACTTCTGAGTCCTTACGTCACAGCATCGGTGGGTCAATCTGTTTTCATAGGAGCTCTGTAGAAACATTCTGATTGGATCGGGGTTCTGGAATCGAGGATATTTATAAAAAAACTCCAGCCTATTTTTTTTTCAGCCTTGCTGCTGTGACTCAGTTGCTGTTACATGCAGCTCTGTTGCTACTGCTTTGTAAAACTGTTAAATTGTAACTATATATTAATTTAAAACAGGGCTCTCAAAATCCTGGCCCACGAATTAGCCACATGCGGCCCGCAACTAGATGTCAGTATGACATCATCTGACCTTGCCTTTAGGTGGCAACAGTGGCCTCCAGCTCATTTGAATTTAGACCCCTGGTTTAACACAGGGCTTTTGATCGTCATCCTGACCAAATGTTCAATGCTGTGACTGTGTGCAGATGTTTTCGTTTACACTTCTCAAACTCAATCCACAAAAATACTGAAAAACCCTAACTAAGAGTTTAATTTCCCTTCCACCTGTTTCTTCATAAGTTTTTTTATTGTATTATTATTATTTGATTTTATGTGATGTGATGCCAAGTATCCACAACAAACGGCATGCACATCTAGGCGTGACAGTTCCAGACACTTGCATGCCTAGAGGTATGCAGGCGTCTGGGACATGTGGGACAAGTTGGCACCAGGCTGGTACTGATCCATTTTGTCCTTTCTTTAAAAACAAAATGATCGTATTGATGTCCTGACGATAGATCCTTTGGTGAAAACCATTGTTCAGAACCCAGACTGTTTGATACTGATTCAAAAGTATCACGATAAGGTTTCAGTGTTCCCCTTTCAATGTGCCACACAAAAACATTCAGATTCGGAGTGTGGCAGATTGTCCCAGGAGTCGGTGTTGGACGGGCAGTACGAAGGGCGAGCGACAAAAGAACGATCCCAGGAGGAACACAATGGACACTCTGCCAGGTGAATACCCAAAGTTCACCAGACACACACACACACACACACATATATTTATTCAGGTATTACAGCTTTACACACTGTCTGTATGGGTCTGGGTCAGTGGGTCTTATGATTATTTATGCAAATGTGTTTGGCACAAGAAAAACAAATGCACATTCAAAGATCACTGTCCAGCAGAAACAAGGAGACTCAACAGAAGCACAACTTCCTGTGTGAAATCAATCCAAGATTTCTGTCTGCAGCATACAAATGTTGACTCTAAAATAAATCTGATCTTGAACTTTTATACACAGTAAATATGCACAACACAATTGGTATTCTCAGTCAAAAAGTAATTAATTTAAAAACAAGTTCTGAAAGATGTGTGGCTGGAACTAAGTGAAACTAAAACGATCATAAATGACACATTCATGTCCTCCGTTATCAGGAGCGGGAAATAAAAGGAGCCAAAGGCTTGAAAAGCAAGTATTGGTTGTGAAACACTACCTTGAGTTGAACTTTGTGATCAAAGTTTCTCAGTAGAATGCAGTGTGGTACAGTTTCTCGTATTGTAAAATAGATTTTGAGAGTCGAGAAAAATCACTTACAACCCAGAGGCATTAATAAAAAACTCAGCAACTGTCAGAGAAACCATAATGCAGCCTATTGGTAATGACCACATGGGCCTGAAGTACTTTAGGATCTGACATAGACCACGTCCTATCAAAGTAATGTTCCCTGACACTGTAGGAAAAGCTTCGCATCATCAGTTTGTGAAGAGAGACTCTGAGCCTTATCTCTGATGAACCAATGAAAAAACATTTGACTTTGTAAGAGTCAGTGCTCTTCAATAAGAAAGTGAAACTTTTTTTATTATTTCCAGGGGCAAAATGTGTGTAAATACTGACAAAAGCATTACAAAATACAATAACAAGCTTTCAACTCATGGGTGTGTTTGCAGGGAAGCCGTCAAACTTGTGTTAATGGTGCAGATTAATCTCACCAACATAACTCAGCCGGGGCTCCAGTGTATTGTGTGTCTGTGTGGGAGCGCTATTTGACACCGATGGGTGACTCGGCAACTAGTGTGTGAGTCTGTGACACTTTCTTACACAAGGACCCCACAAAGACACCCTTTCACTGCTACTTCCCCTGCTCCTCGTCTCCTTTAAGTCCCAGACCTGGACTAACTCACAGAACCCCCCCCCCCAAACAGCATTAGCTTCTGGTCAGAAGAAAACTCACGGACAATTTAATATTCAAATGAATACTTTCTCTCAAGGGTTCAAATCCCAGGCAGTGTTTTATTAATGTGTAAAAGGCTGCAGTTACAGGATAATATCAAGTGTTCTGGATCCATATGTCCACTACTAGACTGTTCACACAGGATGTAGGTCATCTGGCTCCAGACGGATACTCACTGAGATTCCAGGCAGAAGAGCCATTTTCATCTGATCATGATCCTGTTTCTCAGATTGTATCAGCTGATACAGATTTGACATTAAATATGTAACGAAAAAAGGCCTGATAATAAAGCATGAAAACAGAGAGCAGTGTTTCCCAAAACTGTTTCTACCGCACACCACCGTGTCGTCCCCCATTTGGGACATAACTTTTTTTTTTATCAATTTATCCTGCTGCATGACCTCTGCAATTGCTGTGCACAACTTAAGGTCCTGCCCCCTTCTTTGGAAAACTATTAATTGGTTGAGTATACACTTGATCTAATACAGCTGTGTTTTAAGTATAGAGATTACTGTGAAGGAAATATTGGTATCTTAAAACATTTTTGGACGTTGATAGTCAAACTTTATAACCAGTGAATACCATGTATTTATTCAAATCGCACAGTGAATACCATGTATTTATTCAAATCACAATTTAAAATACAAATAGTGTATAGATAGATAGCTTCTCCGACATCTGTAGATGATTTAAAATACAAATAGTATATATATAGATAGCTTCTCCGACATCTGTGGAGCATCTATTATTCATCTGTTTACCAACTCTATCTTCTGTTTTCTGTTTACAGCGCTGAGACTTTCTCCGTTTTTGTAACACGGCCTAAAATTCCTCGTACGCCTGACACAGCAGGAAGCAGCTCTCAGCGGAGTCGAGACTTGGCACCTCAGTTTTCCCTGTCGGAGCCACAGCAGAGGAGCCGGCCAAACTCCGCCAGCTCCACAGGAGGAGGGGGGCACCAGAGCGGAGGTAAGCATGAGTTAAAGTTGAGGAAAACTACACCGCGGCTCAGCCAGTGTTGGTGAAGTTTTGGCTCCAGCCGGTTGGTTTCCGTCTGCTCTGGCAGTCACTTTGGAACTTGACCTGCTGGGACTTTGAGGTTCTTTTGTTTTGAAGAACTTCAGTTTGGCAAAGAGTCAAGTGACAAAGTGACATTTGTTATGAAACCCAGCGCTCTGGGCTCGTCCAGATGGTTTTCAACGTCAGCTACCTATGAATAGTAATTGACTGATTTCAGTCCAGTCATCAGCCTTTCAGGGTGTGTTTTTCTCTTAAGCCAGATTGTTAAACAAAGGCTCCAGTCCCACAAGACCACCACCTCATATTTATTTGCTGTCAACTTCACATCTTAAACAGAGAATTTGAGCCACTGCAGAGGGAGACCGCTGGTTGCTGTGGTGCTCTCAGTCGGTTGATAACATCTCCACGATGCTCTCATGCATCTTAATTGCATTTTCCTGAGCGATTACCTCCTCCAGCTCACACACTGACTGCTCTTACCAGGAAGTCTGTTATCGTGCCTAATGGTCGCTCACAGCCACCGCATCCTCTTTCTGCGCCTGTAGTGCACTTCTGAGGTCTGGTAAGTGTCAGACGTCTATTGATTGATGAAGAAGACGGTTTGTCCAAGCTGGCCTCAAGCTCGATATACATAGGCACATGGTTTGGTAAAAGGGGTCAAGGCTGGTTTTACTTCCTGCTTTCACGGCTGTATTTCTTGATAACACAATCTCTATTAACTACCATCTATTAACAACCATCTCAAATGTATATTTTCCAAGGAATACTGCAGAAATACCATGAATACTTAGTATGTTTTTGCTGTGAAAACAGTGGACTGCAGTATGAAATATTCCAGTTTTAGCAGAGCCTTCTTATCGTCCAATCAGATAAGAGGTAAACTGATACCTGTTACTTCACCATCACACCTACTACCACTTTAATACCGGACATCTGTCCAGAGACGTTGACACTGATTTTGCTCAGTGATTTTCTTCTTCATTTCCATTTACTTTCACTTGGATGCAGTTTGTTGTGGCTGTCAGACCCTCGTCTGAGGCAACATTCCTATGAGGCCACCCACAGCTGGCAACAAACAAGAAGTAGAGTCTAGGCTTCCCTGAAGAAGGAAACGGCAATGCTGGGCTGTGATGACGTGGGCAAAACAAATACCACCAGATGATGGCGCTGTGTCAGGTGTAAGATAAGAAGATGAAGGTGGATCTCTTAAAAGTGACAAACCCTGGAATGATTAATGTTAGGGAAATGTATTTATCTTTGTCATGGCAAAGATAAATAAATGTCACGTGAAGCCTGAAATGTATTTATCTTTGTCATGGCAAATATGTTAAAATACCAGAGAAGTGCCGCGTGAAGCCAAAGATTTGCATAAATCAAACATTTTCACCACAATATGAAACTCACACCTCTGTGTTTGACCTGGAAGATCCTTCCTTTTCTTTCCTCAATCATGGTAAACATGTTTGTGGCCAAACATTTCAAGTTTTGTCCCCTTTGACCTTCTCACCTGTCCTCTGCAGACTACAGTCAGGTCACAGTCATGGGAAACCTACTTTTAATATTATTTAATATTACTTGTTATTGTTTTTTGTTTTTTGAAGACTTTCATTTTCTACATTGCCCATATTTTTTTTTTAATTTTCACTTGAAGAAAATGGACCAAATACAAAGTTTTAAATTCTTGTTTCCTTCGTTTCACTGAACCAACTCACCTCACGTCCTCTCCCTCTCTGTCCTCCTGCAGGCAGTCAGTCAAAGAGGAGGTGAGGAAGGAGCTGTCATTGTGGGGCTGCACTATCTCCCCAGCAGCATCAGCTTCCTGTAACATCATACACCCGAGGTTGTGATTAGGGTCGCGGCAGCAGAGATGGTTGAGAATCAGCAGCGAGTGGAGGAGGGGGACGAAGAGGAGGAGGAGGAGGAGCGGGAACAATGTGGAGGATTGTGTCTCTACGATTTTTTTTCCTCTTCCACTCCAGCACAGGCTTCCTTCTGTAACATAATAGGAGGTCGGTTAAAAATCACAACCCCCAGTCGTGCAGCGTCTCCTACAGCTAACATCTCAGGGAGGGCTGAGAAAGTGAGACTCCTCCAATCTTAAAAGTCTGAAGACTATGTTTCGACGCTTTATCGTGCTGTTAAGCGGCATTCGCTAAATGGTCAGCCTCCTTCTCCTAAGCTTGGAGAGTTTCTCTCAGGATGATTAGTTCCAGCCAATGAGCAGAAAGACATTTTCTAACATTGAAGTCTTTATAAACCACACTGAAAAACATCTTCAAACTTCCCCTTTAGGCTAAGAGCGTTTTAGGTCTCATTAAAAAGCCCCCTGATATGATCAGGTATGAAGAGCATGTTAGCTGCCAGGACTTTTTGTAACATGTGGATACGTTTAATCGGGGGTTTTTGCCCCTGCAGTAGTGAAACAAAACTGCTTCTATAGATTCCTGTGATCATTTTTACTCTTCAGACTTCTGCCCGCCGTATTGTAAATGTAAAACAAAGCTCATGTCGTAACAGCTGCTTTTCTTTAAACCTCGCTTAAGTAATGTTTACACTCCTGTCACGGGTTGATTGTGTTGTTGTTTTTGTCGTACAGTTTATTCTAATGCATAAAATACCTGACTAAAGACTTGAAATAATGTACATGTCTTCAACTCCAGACAATTCTGGTGTCTGTTTTTCAGGCACTGTGATGTAAATTTGTAAATATACATTTTTGTGTTTTGAAGTTTTTTGTAGACGTGACGTGCGATCATGCTCTAGGGGGCACCTGGTAGCCCCCTCCCCATGCTCTAGGGGGCACCTGGTAGCCCCCCACCCCCCCTGGACTACCTAAGGTGCCTGCGGGGCATGTTCTAAAAATAAAACTAGTCAACAAGAGTGTCAAAAGTCGTACTGTTACTGTTCTTTTTTTTTAATCAGTTCCACTTTATTATATTCAAATGGGTCCAATGTGCTATGGAAGGAAGAGGGTCTGCTATTGTATGTCCCAGATCTAAAGAGTATTCTGTTGTTCAGGAAGGCTGTATTAAACAAGCCTCTGTTTCCAAAAGGTCGGTGACCCCTGCTCTAGATGTTCCCTTTTTTTTGTATCTGCTCCAAAGGTACGACTAAACCAAGAAAATGTTACGTACAGGCATCGTGAAAGCAGGCAGGACCCAAATGCCATGACAGGGAGACTCTCTTCAGGTGTAGCAGGTTTATTAACAAAGTGCAAAATAACACAGGAACAGGAACAAGTGGAGAAAATAACAAAGTGCAAAATAACACAGGAACAAGTGGGGAAAAAAAACTGAACTGAACTGAGCAGACAGAACAGAACCACACAGGCTTGAACACACACAATGAGAGTGGTGAAGAGAGAGAGGTACGTGTATATACAAAGGGCACCAGGTGACATGAGTGAGACTAATGACTAAGACAACAGGTGAGTGTGATGACACTGATGGCACCACAGAGCAGACAGCAGGGAACAAACAGACCTCACAGAAAAAGCATAAAACAAATGGACTTCCATTCATTCATGTGTCGTGTTCAAACATGCTCAAAGAAATTAGCGTAGCATGTCTGAAGTACTAATACTCAACAACATTCAAGAGTTTTTAAAACTACATTGTTAATCGATGGCAAAGTCACACACCTGTTGTTACCAAACACAAGTCTTAACCTAAAATGGCTGCTATCGACACACCAACTCACTATTGACTACTAATTAAATACTAGTATTATTAACTACTAAATCAATAGTCTGAAATAAGAAGACTGTGGAAACACTGTGGCCAAGAAACTAAAGTGGAGAGTTTATCAGGGTTTGAATTTATATTTATTGCCAAATACATTTGCACACACAAGGAATGTGACTTGGTATATCAGTACATTATTATAATTACAAAACAGAAATATATAAAGCTAAAGAATATTGCTTTTTCCCATCAGTCATAGCTCTATGTGGTTCAGCTCCACTTCTGCTACACAATATATGACTTTATTAAACATATCTTTTTACCAAAACGGAGACTAAATGGCTGGTTTTGCCAGCTCAGCTCTTACTGTGGCTCACATTTTCCCTTGGAGAGGTGACATGTTTGGCATTAAATATTTTGGACACTGCATGTGTGAAACAGCACAATCTGAGGAAACAGGCTGCACGTGAAACACTGACGCACTTACAGCCAGGTGGCCGCTTAACCCTGGGCTTGAGCCACGCTGGTAACTGTCCAGCTGCAGAGAGGAAGCTGCTGCTTCTTATCAAAACAGTGATGTGACTAAGACCAGGGAACTAGGACCAGACTTTAATGGGTTCATCATTGTATAAAAGTATTCAAACTTGGGAATACTTCAAGTGACTGAGGTTTGCTTTGCTTTAAGTGAGTGTTTGAAGGACTTCACCACAGCGTCATATAATGTTACAAAAACTGCAATCGGAGTGGGAGGAATGTGGATTAACAGATCTGAATGCAAACACAATGTAAAAGTCTTTAGTACCTTTCAAGAGGTGTACTTAAGATTAGACCGTTGTGCTCATGTTTCACCAACCAGAACATGGGAGGTGGCGCGAAACATTTACTGCTGCACTAAAAATAAATCACAGGTTTAACTGAAGAACATTTCTAAGCAGTAGAACTGGAGACAGTGGCATGAGCGAAGAGACCCCCGGTGTCAGCAGCATCACGGGCACCCTCGCCATGTGTTTATCAGGAGACGGTCCAACTGATAAAAGATGACGCCAGCCAAGAAGAGACAGTGTCGCTGTCTCCCCCACCTCCTGTTTCCTGATGGTCCTTTGTCAACAGATGAATTGAAACAAACCCCGCAGCTGGGTCTTCACTGTAAACATTTCAAGTTCCTTTCGGGGTTTTGAATGTGTACAAAAATCTACCATTCACCATTAAATATTGACAGAAGACATTGCTGTGGCACAGGTTTTAAGGGACCGTTCCAATAAAAGACTAAACATATTTGGAGTCGTTTTTTACATTTTTGACCTTTTTAAGGAATGTCCTTACAAACAGCCCATTAACCTTTACTGTGAATGCAGCCACACTTTTACACTGTGTGCACCGGTACATGTCCAAACAGTGTGGTAATGTTTGGTAGAACTTGGTGAATGACAGTCAAAACCTCGTGGCTGTCACACATGACAGAGGACTCAGTTTAACAGCCCCACTCAGCTGCCTTCCTCTCAGGCTTATCTGCAGACAGCTCACGGTGCTCGGTGTGGACGGCACCAACATTTCTGGGAATCAGTGTGACAATTGACCTTTGACATTAAACAGCACTTGACCAAACAACCTCAACATGAGCCATTCAGCTTTTCTTTTTTTTTTTTTCAAATAATGAACTATCAACTTTTGCAAAACTGCAGATGTTTAATCCTTTCACTGAACTCTTCCTGGGAAGTGTGGGAGAAAACACAGCCTAACACCTGTGTGTGTGTTGGTGTCTGAGGTTATTACTTGGTTTCACAAAACAGCAGTTGGACTACAAGATTAAATCATAAAATAATAATAATAATTGCTATTATAATTGTTATTATTATTTAATGTCAGCGTTTAATGTAGTGAAATATCATAATGCATTTATGTAAGAAAAGTATTATTTTTCTGTTGGTTCCTTAAATCTATCAATATTAATAATACTAATTTTGAAAACCTTTTTATTACCTTTGATTGCTATGCATTTTGAAAACCTTTTTATTACCTTTGACAACTATGTCAGGTCATCTGTAGTACCATGTAGCTCCATAAACACTACACATACATCTCACCTTTGGTCCTCAACAACCATAAAGTACTTGAATGGGTGTTTCCACCCTCCGGCCTTAGCGGACAGTATTAGCCCGACACAATGAAAAGGCAAACACGGAAGGTAGAGTTTAAGATTTGAGTGTTTATCCTTGACCTTGGAGAGAGAAATTGTGAAGCAGGTAGACCCGATGGAGCGTCACACAGAATTAACTTTTTTAACATAGACGTGGTACAATTAATCTGACTCAAACCTGTCATATATTTGAAGATGTTCCCACAGGGAATTATACAAGAGACACTGGTGTTTAAAACACACCCTTTTGTTTTCAAACCTTTCCTGGAAGGAATGTCTTCAGCTGACAGCTCTGTGGCAAAATAAGAGGGTGTTGGTGGGTGTGGGGGGGTGCCCTCGAGCCAGTTGCATCTAGTGGTAAATTCCTTCTTGTTGAGTGAGGACTCTGCAGCCAGGGCCCCTTCCTTATCAAAAGGAGTAAGGACAAGCTCATGCATCAGTCCAAGAGAATGGGACGGACCAATGGTATTCCTCGCTGCAGAGCCTCAGGTGTGTCAAACACAACAGGGGATTAGCAACAACTTCCCCCCCAAGACCGGGGTAGATCCGAAGATTTTCCATTTCACATTGGCCGCCTGACATCCTGCATCCAGTGACACTGTTGCAGTGGTAACTACAAAAGGGGAAAGCAATAAACGAGATGAAAGTAAGTTGTGAGTTGATTGAAGATAACTGTATGTACCGATAAGGATTGGCCAACACACGTCAGAGTTGTTTCACAACCTTACACTTCCTGGCATACAGGGCGCATTTATCAAGAACAGACAGTGATAATAAATTAACAATTCCTATCCATTATAATTATTAACCTTTTCGGGGTTAATAATTACTTTTTTTTATTATGGTCTAACTGCCGATGTTAGCAAACCCTGAAAGACTGTGTTACAGTGAATGAAAATTAAGTGAAACAGCTTTTAGTTTAACTTGTATTCATTTACAGTTACAGTTCCATTTTTCAGATTGGCTCTTTCTGCTGCGTCACGTGGCAAAGGTTAAACTTAACTCCAAGGTCAAGACAAGGGACTGCAGTGTCTAACACCACTTTGGTCATCTGTCACAATCTCAGAGAGAAGGAAAAAAGAAGAAAAAAAATCATAACGGGAAAAAACACCATCAGCAGGCGACAGGATGCACATGGCCCTGAGAAGGATGGCTGATTGAATACAGGAAATGGAGAGAGAGAAGGGGAGGAAGGAGAGATTTCGGATCACAGCTGTGTTGAAACTGAAAAAAAACACAACCTTGTTTTGAAGCCCCTGGTCATTTTGTTGTTTGTTAACCATAATGAGTCAGAAGGCCACGGTTTGCTAAACAAGGGTTACGAGCGGTTGTGACAGTGACAGCTGTGCAGTCAGTGTTTTGACTTTCACCTCCATTGTCTTCATGTAAAGACACCTGACGAGAAAAAAATAGTTACATTTAACAACCCTTAAGACAAAAATTACAGTACACACAAAGTCCAACCTGCCCAACCCTCCTTCAGCCGCATGGAAGAGATAAATGTAGAGTCGCGGCTCACGTCCACATCAACTTTAGCACACTGACGTCCTATCAACGTTCGGAGTGTGCACACTAACTGTAATAATCCTTATGGTTAGGGTAATGGTTGACTAATTTTAAAAGTCAGGTGGCCACAGTGGACATTTCATCTGTTTATAATACATGCAGTATATTGCAAGCCGAAGGGCTTTGCAAATCTATAAAACCTAAAGTAAACCCCACCTTACCTTAGGTTTTATAGATTTGCCAAGCCCTTCGTGTTATGTCATAACTGTTGGAGGCCTCCTGGTAATGAAATAAATCTACCATGCTACAAGGGTGTGCAGTTTTGGCATGTATTATATATAGATCCTTACTTTGGCTTAGGTAGGAGATGTGTGATGACTTCTCAAAAGCCGCTAGATGTTTGTTTTTTTAATTGTTCTATTAAATCAATAAATGTTCATGTGTCAGCTAGCTATAATAAATGTGTATGTAAGCATTTGTGGTTAAGTAGTCTCATTACTTTCACTTTGTCTTTCACATTTGTTTTTAAAAATACATGAAAGCTAAGCTGAATCTCTAATTCAGCTAATTTTGTGCTTCTCTCTGCACTTCCTCCTTCTTGTGTCACAAAAACAAAGTTATGTGTCCATTTGCATTTCAATGCAAATAAACAGAAATGTTAATGACTGTCATGGTCAGTTTGGCAGATACAATGCTGTAGCAAAATTACAGTCTCCACATTCCATCCGTCCAGTGTTTTAGTTTCTTTGGCTACTGTTGCCACTGTCTCTTGCTTTAAGTTATTATTATGACTACCATTCTTTTCCTATTCTATTCTTTAACTCTTTACTATCCAGACGACATTTGTTTGTGGGAGCCATGTGGGTCAAAAGATGTGTATTACCTTTACATTTATAAAATATGTTCTCAAATTCATTTAAGTTTAGCATATGTTGTACTGCAGTATGGTTCTAGATTTGTCTTGAAGGTTCTAATATAAGATTTTATTCTTTTTCTTTTTCTATTATTATTTTCTAGTATGTTTGTATTCTGTACGGATACAAAGTTATAAATTTAAGTTATCATGTGTTTTATGGCCATATTGTCCAGGCCTGTACTATGTTAGGTGGTAACTGTCACAACACTAAAAGAACAAAGACATTGGAAATATAGTTTTAAGTTGTAATGAAATACAAGTAAGAAGACTTTTACCCATCCAGTAAAAATGAATGTTTTTTTTTTTTCTCACAAATGATTCTTGTTTGTCTCTACATTTGGGGACACATAATGTCTGCAACAACAAATCAAATCAGAGGCTTCGTTTAGGATAGCATGCTAACCATAACAACCTGTTCTATCTCTACTTCCTGCGCCCGTTCCTCTTCGTTTGGTTTTAAACATAATTTCTGGCTATGACAATTTGCATTACGGCCACCTAGATGGTTTAGTGTCCTGTAATAAAATATATAATTTAATTACAATTCTAAGAGTTAATGGTACTTTAAACGGTCCGACAGCCCCGTGCTTTTGCTTTTGAACAAGTTTTTTTACACTTGTGAACGTGTGCGCGTAAGAGGGAGAGACATATAGAGAGAGAGAGAGAGAAAGAGAGAGAGAAGGTGAGAGAGTGTGTGTGTGTGTGTGAGAGAGAGAGAGAGAGAGAGAGCGCATGGATTAAAAAGCGCTGCTGAACGAGCGAGCGCGTTCAGTGTTCAGCAGCGCTGATCCGGTTCATCTTTCACCATTTGCAGCATGACGGGATAGTAAAGGAACTATTTTATTTTACTTTTTATCCAAACGCTGAGGAAACTTTACGAGAAATCGTCTCACTGTTGCTTTCCGAGTTTTTAAGTCGTCGAAAGCAGTGAAGAAAATGTAAGTAGAATCGCTCGCTACATTGGTCACATGTACTTAAATCGTTCAATATTTAACGCATTTATTCGATTTAGTCTTTTTTTATTATTAACAAATATTGTCAATGCAGAACAAAAAGCCAAAGAAAGGGTAATCACAAATTTAGCAACATGTTTTTGTTTTTGTTTTGTTTTGTTTTTTTAAAAAAGGTCGCATGGTTTGAAGAAGTGTGTTTTTTAAAAAAGAATAACTTTTTAATATAAATGTCGTTGTTTTGAAATACACATATAAACAAATATATAGTAACACTGGTTTAGTTATTAGAAGACAAAGAGAAGAGTCCCAGACCCGTCCTCACTGTTCGGGGTCGTGGCGGTGACGAGCCCCAGCATGACATGATGGAAACGTGAGAATTAGAAATGCAGCGGGTTGACTTTCTCGCCGCATTCCAGCTCTTCCTATAGAGGTGTCACTGACAAGTGCTGCTCTACCTGACTCAGAGTTATCTAAACATTCTGTGGCATTTAGTGGCAGAACAGAACTTAGTGGCAGAACTGATCTTCAAATGCCACACCCTTAATTAAAATATCTAACACATTGCATTCTGCAACACACATTATTAGTTTCAATTTTAAGTCTTTCAGTGGTGCTGTCCCGGCAAACAAACATGCCATCACAACTTCCTTTTAATTTTTATTTTTATAAGCCTATAAAAATTAAAAGGCTGATTACTCACATCTGATTTCATATTTATTTGTAAAGCAAATTTCTTTATGATTATTGATTTTAATATTTTGAGTTTTTGTATTTAAGACAGATGGACTTGTGGTAAAAGGATCAGGTGTGTTGTTGGAAGGTTATAGTTTCGAATCCTCTGGTATGTTGAACTGGTACCAGTTACCTTATTCCCCTGGATTGGGTTGATGGTTTAAATGCAGTGGCTAAAATTTCATCATCACTTTATTTGCAATGACAGGAAAGTTTTTTTAGCTAAAGGCTGCCTGTGATCTGTATCTTCCTGCAGGTTCAACAACAGAGATCGCTGGAGGGTGTACAAGAAGATGAGCATCATGTTCCTCCTCGCTGTAGTGGCGCTGACTGTTCTCCAGAAAGGCACTATCAATATGGTGGGTTCATTTGATCTCCAGAGGCACAGTGGCATGGATGGATCAGAGGGGGCTGATTTTGGGGCTACGCAAGCAGATAATAAGGACTCGTACAATATTTTGAAGGGCTTCTGGAAAATGAATCAAACACATCCTCCCCATAAAACCTTGGTCACCTCAAAAGAGCTCAAAGTTACTGCAGGAAGGAGGGCCACAACCTGGGATATAACAAGCACCAACTGTAGCGCCAACCTCAACCTATCCAGTCAGGAGTGGTTCAAAGGCCTGGAGGACAATTTCAAGCAATTCTTGCTTTATCGACACTGCAGATACTTCCCCATAATTTACAACCACCCAGAGGCGTGCAACGGGGAGATAAACTTGCTGATGGTAATTAAGTCAGTTGCCACACAGCATGACCGCAGGGAGGTCATTCGGAAGACCTGGGGTAAAGAGCAGGTGATTAAGGGCAAGAGGATAAAGACTCTGTTCCTTCTTGGCAGACCGTCTCATGACGTAGAGAAAGTGAACCATCAGAAACTTGTCGAGTTTGAGAATCAGATTTATGGAGATATTCTTCAGTGGGACTTCCTGGATAGTTTCTTCAATCTCACATTAAAAGAGATTCACTTCCTTAAGTGGTTCGACATTTACTGCCCTGGTGTCCACTACATCTTCAAGGGGGACGATGATGTTTTTGTCAACGTAGACAACATCTTTGAGTTCCTCGAAAACAGCAAACAAGAAAAGAACATGTTCGTGGGTGATGTCCTTTTCAAGGCAAAGCCAATTCGCAAAAAAGAGAACAAGTACTATATACCACAAACCTTGTATAATAAAACACTATACCCACCCTACGCAGGTGGAGGGGGTTTCCTGATGGATGGCAGCCTTGCGAGAAAACTCTACTGGGCAGCAGACACCTTGGAACTGTACCCCATCGATGATGTCTTTTTAGGCATGTGTCTGGAGGTGCTTCACGTCACTCCTATAAGGCATGAAGCCTTTAAGACGTTTGGCCTAGTGAAAAACAAGACCAGTAAATTGAACCGGGAACCTTGTTTCTTCAAGGATATGATTGTGGTTCACAAGCTGCTCCCATCAGAGCTAAAGTTGATGTGGAACCTGTTAAAGAGTGACCTGGTTTGTGCACAAAAAGCTGCAATCCTATAGCAGATGAGAGACATTGAGGAGGGGTAGTGCCACCAGTTGTGGCTAACACTCTTGCTTAGTGTGAAGAGGACGTGCAGCACAGTACAAGACTTTTTTTGTGGGGACAGACATGACAGGTTTTCTGTGCTGTTTCACTTTTGGAAACTCCCTCTATCTGCCTAAAAATGTATTTAAAGCGGCATTGTGAAGAAACTCTGTCATCATGCAGAGTCAGAGAAATTTCCTCTACCTCTGTGACAGGGTGAACAAATATGTGATTACTGAGGATCTTTTCCTCTTCTTCAAAAAATATAAACATAATGAAAACATTGCCTGGCTGTGCAGTACAGGTTTATTTAACTTTCATAACCACAGAGGTCCTTGCACTCCTTTGTGTGTCTGACTTGATTTGAACTAAAACCACTAGACTACTACTGCAAAACATTGTTGTTCTATCAAATAATTGTGTATATACTGTCCATATATAGAGGTGAATGTGCTATCATACTTGAGTGGACATTTTGGTAGTTTTGCAAACACACTGTGAACTAGGACTTTTGCCGGTACGAGAATAAGACATGGTTATTTAAAAGCCCCCAATTGAAGAGGGGGCATATGTGGATGTTGTGTCTAATTTAAGCAAATGAATTGTTGCTGGTGTTGAGATGATGATCACTGTATTTCTAGGCGATGTATATATGTGTACATAGGATATGATGTGTAAATAAACCAATTTAAAAAATGGTTGTGTTTTGTAACGTCTGGGTCCCTCACACCTCAGTTTAAAAATTCTGATATTATTAATAGAATATGTCAACATCTTAGCTGTGGTCCATCTAATTATGATTCAGGTCCCAATAAAAATATATAATTAAGAATAAAATTAACCATAAACAGCCAACTACCACATCTTGGGTGTGCCTTCTCCTACACCATGACAGGTATTGAAGTAAAGTAATAGAATACATGCACTAATCTGATTATGTTTTAACTGTGTTTGTTTCAGTGGAGGATTAGGTTGCACAATAGTCAGAGAGAACTGCCCCAAACATCATGCTTTAGTGGATTTATGTTCATTGGTGTTCCTGCCACTAAAGCCATAGTAAGTTCTAGACTTATTCCCTCGAGTCTGTTTAAACAAAAGTCCTAATATTGACATGTAGGACCAGGTAAACATGTTCAGTGTCGCTCAACACTACACACTGGATACTGCTACATTTACATCTATATAATACATTTATTAATAGGATTAATATTCCCTCTGTTTTATTGTCACTTGTCTTCAAAATGGCTGCCAGTGAAAAGGCTTTTTCACATCCAGTTAACAGTATAAGGTGAGGCAATAAAGAAGAATATTCTTTTACAGTTAAATACTGGGATAAATAGAGGATACTATTACAGATTGTAAGTAGATCGCTAAAGAAGACTCACTGGAGAAAGTAATTATTAAATAGATTCAACACAATTGTTTTGTTTTGTCAGTGATCCATAGGATCAACTACTATTTTTAAGAAATCTAATATATTTCTTTAGGGTCCAAAGAACTGCATTTCCCCTGAAAAAACCATCAACTTTCATTATTTCAATTGTTTTGTTTTGTTTGTCTGATGCGTTACCATTGAACATTTGGGCTTCCTTTTAACTAATAGCTGACCAAGTGTCCTCAACAATCACCACATAACAGTTGTGTGTAAGTACCTTGTTTTACAAACCTGCCTGAATACCAGGAGCTGTATATTTGTTGGCATTAATTGGAGAAAGCGTTTGATGTCATTGTGGTCAGTGGGCCATCTGGGAGAGACAGCAAGCTTTCACAACACCCCTTGATTTCCATCAAAGGCCTCTGGAGCACCACCAAAGGTAATGTTGTGGAAGTTGTTGCTTGGTTAACCCCCCCACCCCACCCCCCCAAAAAAAGAAACAACCAAAAAACAAAAGGAAGAAAATGATCGAAAGTGACAAAAAAATCACAGCAATAAAAACTTATAGTTAATTTCAAACCATGTGCCTATTGTGAACTATAAACATCAGTCTTCTCCTTTCTTATCTTTCCATATATCAAATGTATTGAGGCAAATAAAATGAGTTCTTTAAATGACTATTTGCATAAAGAAGTAGCCCCGCCACAATTTGTGTGCAGATAAGACCATTAAAGTACTTTGAAAATAAACATATTTCCCACATACATTTCTTAAACATATTTTGCACCAGTGCTTTTGCGGATGTGCAGTTGGATGTAGGGCAAATACATTATTAGTATGAAAAATTAGACAAGTGCATGGGCTTTAACTCACTGTTTTAAAAAAGTGAAAATAAGGAAGTTCAAAGCAATCAAAAGCACATGTGAAAACATAAAAAGGAACTAAAATGTTCTCCTTTCTCTCAATATTTTGTCTCATGTACTTTGTATATTCAGGAAAGAGAGCAGATGCAGAATGGTCTGTGAGTTTCCAAAATGCAAATAAAAACACAACAGAGCCATGTGACCTCATGGTACACACATGCCACAGGACACCACTCTCTCCACAAAGATCTATTGTGAGTTTTTTTAAAAGACTATACTCTAGAGTGCTGTTTTTTTTTTTTACAGCAAATACAAACCAGAAAGGATCAGTCTGTCTTTTATTCTCCACAGTGCCACTGTAGTATACAGTATATGGCGGTGGACAAATACATTAAGCTGTAGGGTATGAGTATTCTGAGCTCTTGGAGTAACATTGTATTTCTAAACTATTTTCTTTAAAGAAAAAGGTAAATGTATGGTTCTGAGCTCTGCTAGAACTAGAATTTAAAACAAACATTTAATATAAAATTCTAGCTATTCCTCTAACCAGCCTCCCTGATTTTTAAGAATTGATGTCACATGAGCTATTCCTCTAACCAGCCTCCCTGATGTTTAAGAATTGATATCATATGTACAAAAGAAACAACAAATGGTGAACATTGTGTGAGGTGCAACACACTTGAGGCCCAAACCTAGAAGTGGCTTAAACTCATATAGGACAGGCTGGTGGTCACTGGAAGTTACAAAAATTTAACAACAGCCAGAATTGTCACCCTAAACATCTAGACAAGGTCATTTTTAGGTCATAGCTAAGTCACATGCAACCAAGAGCAGTACTTTAGTTTTTCCTAACCTGTCCTGGGTCCAAACTTATTACAAATATAGACAAATAGTATTTGTTGGGGGACAAAATTACCCAATTTCAACTTTTGTTCAAATCCTAAGAAAACTACTACTGTAGTAAATGAGTGAACCTGTCAAACCAGCAGCATTAGGATTCATGTGCTTTCAATATAGCTAGGTGGAAGTGTCAGTGTAACAGTATACAGTATTTACCAGGGGACAGGTGCCTACATTTAACATCGCGTAAACTGTAGTATTCGGTAAATAGTACCACGTTAGCCCATGTGGAATGATCAGTCTGCCATCCAGTGGACAACACGCGGTACTACAACTGACTTTAAGCACACTTTAGTTTCAAGGTCAGCCATCTTCTAATTCCCGGATATGAAAACGACAGCAGCTTGAACTAACATTTTCCATTAGACTGAAGACCGACGTTTTAAAAATCACCACCTACAAGATTTTATTAAATCACATGAAAAGCTCATTTGTAAAGGGGAGAAATTAGTCAGTGAACTACAAATATTTTGTTACCATTTTATGTTACATTGGTACAGTCATTCAACCTATGGCTCAGACAGTTTGTGCCCCAACAAAATGAACTTATGTCACATGTTCTTCCCATCCATCTATATCAAAATATGCTTTGAACATTACAGTAAAACTTCTCAACTAAAGCAAACTAAAAGACAAAATAAAAACAAAAATGATGTGGATAACAAGTATAGTTTATACAAAAGGTAAAATTAAATCATACAAACTGTTTAAATTTACACGATGTATCTGACAAAGACGTTCATTTTTTTTTCTTTTGTCCACAGCAAACTCATTTGCCAGACCCGTTCCTTTTTTCCTCCTTCTGTAAATTAAGCTATTATGGTTTGCAACAGGAACATTCAGTACTTGCACAAAGTACTTGATTGAAGAGGGTCAAAGTACCATTCTGGCACAGCAGGGTGGGATAGGGTGGAGGGGGGGGGGTCTAAGTAAGGGGCCAAAATGCCCAATAACAGTTAAATATTTTTCAACGACGCTTTCTGGAATGTCCAAAAGCTCTGAAAGTTGATGAAACCAGAGTCCATTCAAAACATAAAACAGACTAATGATTTAGTCATCAAACTTGATTTTCTTCCCTTGGGGTTTGGCTCCAAATCCACCGCCACCTCTTCCCCCTGAAGTACAGAACATACATGCAACCAAGAGCAGTACTTTAGTTTTTCCTAACCTGTCCTGGGTCCAAACTTATTACAAATATAGACAAATAGTATTTGTTGGGGGACAAAATTACCCAATTTCAACTTTTGTTCAAATCCTAAGAAAACTACTACTGTAGTAAATGAGTGAACCTGTCAAACCAGCAGCATTAGGATTCATGTGCTTTCAATATAGCAGAGTGGAAGTGTCAATGTAACAGTATACAGTATTTACCAGGGGACAGGTGCCTACATTTAACATCGCGTAAACTGTAGTATTCGGTAAATAGTACCACGTTAGCCCATGTGGAATGATCACTCTGCCATCCAGTGGACAAAATGCGGTACTACAACTGACTTTAAGCACACTTTAGTTTCAAGGTCAGCCATCTTCTAATTCCCGGATATGAAAACGAGAGCAGCTTGAACTAACATTTTCCATTAGACTGAAGACCGACGTTTTAAAAATCACCACCTACAAGATTTTATTAAATCACATGAAAAGCTCATTTGTAAAGGGGAGAAATTAGTCAGTGAACTACAAATATTTTGTTACCATTTTATGTTACATTGGTACAGTCATTCAACCTATGGCTCAGACAGTTTGTGCCCCAACAAAATGAACTTATGTCACATGTTCTTCCCATCCATCTATATCAAAATATGCTTTGAACATTACAGTAAAACTTCTCAACTAAAGCAAACTAAAAGACAAAATAAAAACAAAAATGATGTGGATAACAAGTATAGTTTATACAAAAGGTAAAATTAAATCATACAAACTGTTTAAATTTACACGATGTATCTGACAAAGACGTTCATTTTTTTTTTCTTTTTTCCACAGCAAACTCATTTGCCAGACCCGTTCCTTTTTTCCTCCTTCTGTAAATTAAGCTATTATGGTTTGCAACAGGAACATTCAGTACTTGCACAAAGTACTTGATTGAAGAGGGTCAAAGTACCATTCTGGCACAGCAGGGTGGGATAGGGTGGAGGGGGGGGGGTCTAAGTAAGGGGCCAAAATGCCCAATAACAGTTAAATATTTTTCAACGACGCTTTCTGGAATGTCCAAAAGCTCTGAAAGTTGATGAAACCAGAGTCCATTCAAAACATAAAACAGACTAATGATTTAGTCATCAAACTTGATTTTCTTCCCTTGGGGTTTGGCTCCAAATCCACCGCCACCTCTTCCCCCTGAAGTACAGAACATAAGTATTAGACAAATACTTTTTTTTAAAATAAACAGCACTACATTGCATCCATAAAACTGTCTTACCTCCAAATCCTCCACGGCTGCCTCCCCTGCTACCGCCGCGTCCGCCAAATCCTCCACGGCCACCTCTGCCGCCACCGCCGCGACCACCAAATCCTCCACGGCCACCTCCTCTGCCACCGCCGCGACCACCAAATCCGCCGCCACCGAATCCACCGCCACCAAATCCTCCTCCGCCGCCTCTGCCTCCACGGAAACCGCCCTCGCCTTTGGGTTTGGCATAGTCCAGGGTGACTCTGCTGCCGTCAATCTCTCCGTCCTCCATTGCCTCCTTGGCTGCCTTGCAGTCTGCCTCGTTGTCAAAGTCCACGAAGCCAAAGCTGAAGACAAGTTGTCGATTACATTTAAATGGTTGACACATAAAACAAGACGAGCGGTGGCTTCACATTAGACACTGGCAACTTTTGCTGATGCTTTAACTTCTAACAGAATCGAGACACAAGCAAGCCTTAATTCATGACATACCAGAAACAGAAATGTCACACCTACCCTTTAGATGAGCCAGTGTCTCTGTCGGTGACTATCCTGGCACCAACTGCACTCTCGAAAGCTTCTCTAAGGGTCTGATCAGTTGTGTCCTCAGAGAGACCCTTGACAAAGAGTGTTTTGGTTGGACCTAGAATGTCAACAAATGTAACCAAAGTTATTATTAAGCCTTAGAATAGTCATATGTTCAGACCAGATCAGGAAGTACGTTTGTCATCAAATACGGCCATCAGGAAGTACGTTTGTCATCAAATACAGCTTAAAAAACATTATACACAGAAAGAAAACACCATTTCAGACTTGACGACCCACCTGAGTTTCCTCTTCCACCATCTCTGCCTCCACTGTTCTGGCTGAACTCCAGTCTGATTGTCCTTCCGTCAATTTCTGTGTTGTTGAGATTTTCTAAAGCATCCTTAGCATCGTCTGCGCTTTCAAACTCTACAAAGGCAAAACTGCACACAGTAGAATAGCTTAGTGGGGACTATTCTGATGTTTTATTACCTAAATAGTTCTAAACATCAAATATGGATTTCTATTCAGTTTAGATAAAATGTTGCACAGCAGACATGTGCAAAAACCCACAAGGTTTGGGTGAGCATGTTTAACCTGTGCACTGGCTCTGCTTCTCGTGCGAATCCAAACATAAACATGGGTTTGTTTAAGAGGAGCTCATGAGAAGGTGCAGCATTCACAAATGCAAATTATGACTTCAACAGCATGTGGTTTTGGTGACTGTCCTGGTTCCTCACCCTTTGGCTCTGCCGTCTTTCTGGGGAATCCTTATGGACACGGCCTTCTCAAATGCAGACTGCAGGGAGTCCTCTGTGGCACTGAACGCCAGATTATTCACCACCAGAGTTTTGCTGGGTGCTCCTGCTGCACTTCCTCCACCAGACACCTTTGCTCCTCTCTGGCTCTTCTCTCCCACATAGTCAACCATGATGGCACGGCCTTGGACGTCAGAGCCCTGAGCCTCCTCCAGCATCTTGTCTGCCTCAGCCTCTGTTTTAAATTCAATGTAGGCAATGCTGGCAGAAACAAACAAAAAAAAAATCATTTCAATCACGCACATTTCATATTCACAGAAGTCAATACAAAATTCCCTAATGATGTCTTGTTCTTACCCTCTGTTTGAACCATTCTGGCCCGGTGGCAACCTAACATCAACTGCACTTTCAAAGACCTCTCTGAGGTCATCAACTGTTGCAGAAAATGGAAGGTTTTTCACAAACAATGTCCTGGAGTCCCTCTCTGTAAGACAAGAAAAGTTGTTTAACGCTCATAGAACTTTAACTCCACAGAAATCCTATTATCAGTCATGGAAGTTAAACAATCAATGTCTTACCTTTCTTGCCTTCCTGCGAAGTCTCTTTGTTGCGGGCCCTATCCAACTTCAATTCCTGACCCATGACCTTTTTGCCGTTGAGCTCTAGTGCTTTCTGCATGTCCTCATCAGTTGAAAACTCCACATAGCCAAACTTCCTGTAAAGTAAGAAATAATAAAAAAAAGGAAATCAGTCAGGTTTTAGTTTACTCTTTGAGATGATTTTAAAATCAAAAAAAAAAAAGAAAAAAAAAAGCACATACTTGGATGCACCTAACCGGACATCAGCAACCTCCAGGTCGTTCTTGGTGAAGAATTTCCTCAGAGATGTTTTGATTTCGTCAAAGTCTTTGTTTGAGTTCAAGTTTCCAACAAAAAGACAAAATGCTAGAAAGAGACAAGAACAAAATTCTCAGTTTGGAGCTTCATTTGTTCAACACTTTTTGAATCAATTGTCAAGTTTCAGAATATAAAAGAGACATCACATATCAGTATTAAGTCCCATGTTGTTCATCATTAAATATTGAACTTCATTGACACTGTGTTTTAACTTACTTTCACCGTCTCCTTTGGCCTTCTTGGCAGGAGGTGTGTCCTTCTTGCCCTCTGCCTTCCTCTTTTTGGGAGTCACTGCAGCTTCTGTAGAGACATGGGAAATAAAAGTTTGGTCAGTCTGGAGGCATCGCTGCAGGGGTGTCTTGTGTGACTACTTATTTCATACATTATTCAGAAATGCAGTTGGATGTTAAATATGGTGCCAGCTATCAGAAGTGTATTCTGACCAGTGTATTCTGCTGCAGTAGTACAACATAATGTAGTGTCCCGTGAGTTTTCAGTCTCATTTCTTCTTTGATCTTTAAGGATCAAAGAACACTTAAAATGGATCAAAGTTACCACGATCAAAGTACGGTAACATCACATTGTGGAGAAATCTAGAGGATTGAGGGGGAACTGAAGGATGGCGTATATCGTATCTTAATTTAATTCCTTTGCTGAGTAAAACTAAAAATTGACTATTTTTGCATGCATGTGATAGAAAGTCACATTAAAAAATTAAAGCAAACTGATTTGGCAACATCTTTAAGATGAGGCATTGTTACAATTGTATATAATGCTGCTGCCACCTTGTCTTGTTAGATCAGCATGGGATCCAAGACAGATTTGATCTGAACTCACCCTCATCATCATCGTCTTCCTCCTCCTCCTCGTCATCATCTTCCTCTTCATCATCGGACTCCTCCTTGGCCTTTACCATGCCTGCTTTCTTTGCCTTAGCAGCTGGGGCCGGGGCGGTGTCCATTTCCTCTTCAGAGTCTAAAAACACAAGCAATTCTTTCAAACTTCTGTAACACTGTGAATTAAGTCAAAGGAGTGACAGCATGTATCAGGAAAAACAATTAGGTGACATCATACGTTTCAGTATTAAGTCCCTTGTTTATCATCATATAAATACATTTGTCAAATCAACTTCATTTAAAAACCATCTCATTCACCTTCATCCTCGTCATCTTCCTCTTCGGAGGACTCTTTTGCAGCTCCAGCCTTTACTGGGGGCTTGGCGGCTGCTTTGGCTGCTTTTTTGGGAGGAGGGGCCTCTTCTTCGGACTCTTCTTCTAGAAACATAAGTATGATGTGTAATGAGGTTGAGCGCTACATACAAGCATGAAGATAATTAAATGAAAGCAAATGCTAGGAAGTGTCACAGCGATTGAGGATAGAACCGGCATACAACAATACCGGCACCGAAGACATAGCGCTGTATTAATATTCCTCCGTACATTACACGCATGAGTACTGACCAACTTCATGCATGCCAAGAAATAGAGGGTGGATGAGAAAACTCAACTGTTTAGCTGAATTTCTAACTTTGAATTAAGAGAACAATGTTAACAAAACCTATCTAAAAGTCTTACCATCATCTTCGTCGTCATCAGACTCAGCAGCAGCTGCTTTGGCCTTAGCTGGTGTTGCTTTTGCAGGGGTCTTTTTTGGTGGAGGGGCCTCTTCTTCAGATTCTTCCTCTGTAGGACAGGAGACATTCTTAAAATCCACAGTCAAGACTTCTGACATATGATAATGTCATACCCAAAATCCAAAACATTGATGTGCAAAAACTTTGGGCCCATGTCCAGTCAGAGCATCTTACCATCATCATCCCTATCTGACTCCTCAGCTTTTGCGGCTGCGGCTTTAGCAGGTGTTCCCTTTGCAGGGGTCTTCTTTGGTGGTGGGGCCTCCTCCTCAGATTCTTCCTCTGCTTGTGGATGAATTTCAGTTGGAGGTCAACAAATGCTACTTGTATAATGTTTAACTCAATTTCAATACCATCTAAATACATTGCAAATGTGCAATTTTTCTTAAACAAACACTCATAGTAAACCATCTACCACAGCACATTATTCTATACACTTTATATGGCATATCAACTTACGAATTCCAAGAGAACATTGTTTTTTGCTTACCAGAGTCATCATCTTCACTTTCAGCTTTTTTGGCATTAGTGCCATTCTTGACAGGGGGCTTAGCTGGGGTTGCTTTCTTCACTGCTTTTGCTGGGGGAGCCTGAAAAAAAAAAAGTCATAAGTAAATAGGGCCAGGAAAATTACCCCATATCAAAATGATATACATGAAGGTGTGTTGCACCTCTTCCTCATCACTGTCTTCCTCACTGGATTCTTCCTCTTCCTCCACATTTTTAGGGGGTGGAGGAGCTTTCTTCTTCTGGGCTACTTGTTTATTCGCTGCCTGCAAGCAAAAAAATTAAAAATTAAAACATTAACGAACAATGTTCGACTTGTCAAAACAACACCTGATTAGCTCAAATGCAGATCGATAAGGTAACAGAGACACGCTGCTACAGCGTGTTTGGAGACATGCGGCACATGAGCCCGCTACAAGCTACATATGAACACGTGTTCATATACATAATACATACTATATATATTCAACGGAGAAATAACTATAGGCATAGTAGGATCACACATTTGAGGAATGAATGACTTGCCTCGTGTGTAAATGGAAGGAGGCGGATTAACCCACGTGGAGCTCAGGGGGTGGAGAAGCTAACACACTTGCTAATGCTACATAAGCACGAGGTAGTTTATGTGACGTCATTTGAAACAAAATTAGCAACGACCAAAAAAAAAATTAGACGATCAAACTGCGTTACCGTCGACGATAATTTCATCGGCCTCACGCTTGGAGTTCGCACGGGCTTCCATTGTGTGTTCTTAGCCACATTGCTATTGCTAATGTTCGCAATTCATTCACCATTTAAATGCCTGCAAATAATACAGCTGAAAACCCAAGTGATCTTGTATCTATTTTTCGAGATTCATTGTATTATTTTCTTTGTGCACATCTAAACACCATTATTAAATCGAGAGCGCGCACGAATAGCCATCTTAGTTTTATCCTTAGCAGGCCAGGAAAACCACACAAACATGGCCGCTCTCAGCAGCAGAAAGAGGGTCAGTTTTAGTCTGTTACCCTTAACACGCGGCTACCACGCTGTGCTCACCGTGCACACTATCAAGCACCAAATTGATAATTTGTGAAAAAAAATTTGAAGGCACAACAACGTTTTAAAATCTTGGCCTTATCTTCCGCAAACGATCCTAATGCAAAGGCCCTGCGCAGAAGCACTATTTTATTTCAATGACGACAGAACAACGTTTTACAGCTATACACACTCTTTTTATAAATGCGTTTTTTTTTTTCTTACCTTTGCTAACTTCACCATGTTGCTGGTTTTGTGTTTCGCCGAAACACAGTTGATTTTAGGGTTGTAGTTGTGACACTAAACGGCTAAAACATGCACGTGGTTCGTCCTACACGATAGAACGTTGGACAGGAAAGACAGTAGACTCGAAGACGCGCTCCTTACTCTCTTACCCTGCGCGTTCTCGAGGACTCCGCCCACATGACTGTTCCTACCAATCAGCCGTTCAAACGGCTGCGCCGTGATCGCGCCTCGTCTGATTGGACAACGGAATTTTGGCGTGTGTCCATAAACATATGGAGAATTTTACCAATCACGTACGTAAATAATAATTTATTTCATATGGGTCAATTTTCTACCCTTCCACTTTTTTAATATAATAGTTTACACCCAATATAATATGATAGCAAAAATAATAATGCATTTGTTTTCAGCGTACTGCCAATGAACAGAAGAGTCTTTATGCCCCATGCAGCTGTTTATCTGAACACGTGGTTGGATCCAGATGGCGTCAGATATCAACCACGTGTGTTGACACGTTTGTTCGAATTGTGTAGTACAAATTAATTTATTCAGATTCTAATTTTCCGCTTTGGTTTAAATTCTGCTGATGATGCTAAGGTTAGAGTAGCTCGACTGTTTAGCAATCAATGACAACATAAAATGACCACGTGAAATGTGATTTTTTTAAAGTTGATTCCAGCCTCTTTTTCCTTGTCATTCTTTACATGTGGTATACTTATTTCTGTTTTTGTCGTTCTGTTACGTTGCGGACACAAAAGTAACATTTTTAACACATTATACAGCGCTAAAAGGTGATACGACAGTGATACATGGGGCACAGTTATCATATATTTATAGTCTATGTGTGTGTGTTCAAATATCTGAATCTGTGTTCAAATAATATATCTTTATATAACGTGTTTAACGTGTAAACCATCGATCTGTACAGAACGATAAGTTCCCCTTTGAGAGAAAAGTAGAGACGGAACATTTGAGTAATTAACACCGAACACCACACAGAGGCAGTATTGCATTTTACATTTTGCGCCTACTTCCCAGAATACTATTTAAAAATAATTTCTGTTTGCATTATTTTGGGAGTATTGCGGTCTCAGAAGCCCACGGATAATGTATCGTTTGTTTACTGAAGTGAAGTTATGTCTTACATGTAAATATCACGCACTTTGGATTCTGACTCTCAAAATATGTCGTCCAAACGGACCGGAACTACAAATAAGTTACTGCGAGCCTGCACTGCAGTGCCACTTAGTGGTACGGCTATGTTACTACTAAGAACGCACCTGGCCTCCTATACACATGTGCAGTATGAGATGCATCGTTCCATTTCTTACAGCGTCCTGCATGAACCGTAACAACGTCATTTGATTTGATCTTAAACTCAATTTTATCTAATCTGAAACTCAATTTTCAGAACCATGTGGTTCAAGCCCCATCTTGAGCCCTGTTGCCTCACCAAATCGTGTGTATGCTTGTAATAGTGGATTCTTATCGTTTTAACATAGATTGATCAAAGCCCAGTACTCATGACAAATGTCATGGACAGTTTTGTGTGTAATTGAAAGTAAAACTGCAGTCATTTACTCGCAGGTTGTTCAGAGAAGAGCCTTTATCTAAAGTTACTGGTCGTTTTTATGCTGTATCTGCTTCACTGTTTTGGCTTAACATCCAAGTAAGCATCATTAGGAGTTTATAACTTTGCTACTGCTACTATTATGAAATGATTTAAACCTGTAATTACGGTAATCATGTGTAGTTAAATTCTTATCTGTCAGTTTCCTTTGTGTTATTCTTATCTCAGTACAATATCATGAAACTGTGTTTTTTTTTTCTTGTGCGATGTCTTTCTTAATGTCAAGTTGAATGTGAAAACATCAAAATAACGTTAACACATGGCCAAATTCAGATTAATTAGACATGATTATAGATATAATAATTCTAGATTATCTAATTCATTTTACTGCATTTCTGTCTCACAGTGAACTTGCATGAGCTGTTTCTGTGCCTCTAAGGTGCCTGCATGAATAACACTGTGCAAGTGAATGTGACTATAGTCAGAGAAACACAAAACCCCGAGAAGATCCATGTAAGTGCACATAGAATGTTCTTTTTTTTCTTTATCATTTTTGAAAACAATTACAGCTATTTGAGACAAAAGAAAAAAAACAAAAAAACAAAAAATGAATTGACCTGCAGTTTGCGTTCATTTCCAAAATGGTACATAAATAAAACTCATATTTATAAATATCTCTTTTTATAAACATATAAATAGTTTTTTTTTAAACATAAATACATTTATGCAGCGGAAGATTAAGTACATGAATGTACAGCAGCAGCGGCAAAAATGTACAGCTTTGCAGATTGTAGTTTTTACACCTTTGCCCACGATCTCGTCATATGCACCTGCGTCTGGACTGTTGTGTGTGGTATACATACATGTATATGCCGTATGTATATGCTGAATATTATATTGATTTATAGGAGGGTTTTGTAGTATTGTCATCTCAGTCTTTGTTCCCACTGCCCGCTTTGACTTTCGTACCGAAAATCTGTCACATGGATGAGTTCTTCTTTGACTTTTGATTTTTTTTCCCCACGTCAGTTGAGAGCAAACTGAACCACTTCTCGTCCAAAACTATCGTCCAGAAGTCTAAAGAGAGAAAAGAAACAAGAAGTAACACCGTTAGTGTTTGGAAGTCACCCAAGGTTGGTGCTCATTCTAAAATGCTCCCTTCTGACTCTTCACAAATGCATTTAACCTGTGACAAACATACAGCATGTCCAGCACAGACCGCCACAATAATGACACACTCAAGTGTCAGCTGATGAGAAACACACTCCTGGCCAATAAAGTTAGCCCCAAATCAAAGTTGGCGGAACTTTGCAGTGTGCCACGACCACAAAAAAACTCCGAGCCCCAGGACTAACTGTGCGTCACCTAGAGCTTCCTCCCCATGTTGTGAACCCCTGCAGTCTCTTTATTGTTCTTGCTAAAAACACTCAGATAAAGAGAATAGTGTTTCCCAGAAGCGTCTTTTCAAGTTCAAATAAACGTGTGTGGGTTTGCTCGTCCACTCCCTCTCTGCTCTCTCTCTCCCTCTCTCTCTCTCTGTCTGTCCTCTTTCTCCTTTAACTGGATGGATCCCTGCAGTGTCTTAGATGAAACAGATGGATCCATTCACGATGATGCATGTTAATACAAGTGTTAACTTCCTCAACACTCACTGAGATTTTTTTTTTCCCATGCACTACTTCACATGGGTCTGGCTCTGAGTGGGATTTCCCGCTTTCTTGAAGGGGGTTCCTTTCCTGTGAGGATCCCCACCCAAACCCCTCCTCACACACACTAACACACTCACACATTCATATTCAGCCACTCTGTTGATAATGTGAGGTCAGTCAGACAGATGTCATATAGAACGTGAATGTATGTCCTGTGTTTAATGTGACTTGTTGTTTACCATTAGTCCAATGGGACGTTTTAACCATAAACATCCATCACACGTTGCAATGTTTAAAATTCCAATTTGCATCTTTTCCATATTATTTATTGACAAAAAGTCATATCTGATCACAGCCCGGTTTCTGACTCCATCCGATTCTCTAATGTATTTAATGTCTTTATAGTTTCAATTATTGTTTTCCCTTTTATTTATTGATTCCAACCAATTTTCATCAATTTCTATAAATCAGATCAGTACTTTATCAGTGTTCATTCACAGCTGTAGGACAGTGATCTGAACTCACCATCCGTGCTCTCCTCCAGCCCTAGCAGCCCATCCCGCTGATGGTCCCTATCCTGTCCATCTTGTGTCCGAAGCAGCCACTCCGCGACGCGGAGCCCCCTTTCTTGTTCCCAGATTTGTGTCTCCTGGGCGCGGGTTGGTCGTTGAGGAGTCGAGCCCACATCCCTCTGGCGCGGGTGTCCACGCGCAAATCTCGCAGTAACCGTAACCGGGAGCGCACAGCATCCAGACGCCTCTCCCTCTCCTCCGACTCCAGAAACTCCGCCAGTTCCTCGCCCAACAAACTTCGAAGAGACTGGAATAAAAAAGGCGCACATTTTTTATAAATACAGTTGGAGTCCAAAAACAAAAACAAAGCTGTGGTAAATTTACGCACAAAACTGTGCCGTTTACGCGCGGAACCAAATGTAGTCTTACTTCAAACGCCACGGTTTTGTATTCAGTAAGTATAAGTCCTAAACAGGCATCAATTCGACATCTTTCTAATACATTTTTAAGATTTAGAAAATATATTGATCAGCTGCAGCACCGCCTTCAGTAAGACAGGTGCCTGTAAGACTGCGGCTCTGGTCATCTGTGCCGTCCAGATGCTGCATTTGCAGCCATTAACACTGGGTAAATGAGCACAAAACCTCATTTGACATTAACACTTGTGTCTGTTTGACTGTGTAAAAAAAACAAACCAAACATTGTGTCCATGTTGTTTTAATTACACTGGTTCTAACGGAAGGCTGTTTTCGGGCTCTGTCCTTTGGTTTTCCTCATCTGTGTCAGCGTCTAATTCTAAAATAACTGAACGCCAATGATGCTGAAAGGCAAGAACAATAATCTCTGCTGTCTCTGAGGATTAGACAAGACTGAAACATTGTGTTTGGAAAGAAGAGTGTTGGGAAAAATTGGTTTGGAAGTTTTAGATTCAGGGAGTGGAAATAAAATCGCCTCGGGTGAAATTATGAAACATGATGCGTAAAACTAACATCCTTGTGCGTCTGAGCCACTGAGCAGCTGTTCTCCCCTGGAAAAAGTGTAAAGTCTTGGTGAAAAGAGTTAAAATGATGCATTCTTACCTTCTGCTGCGCCTGAGATAACGGTTTCGCCCCAATTCTCACTGAAAGCAAGGTGACCATAAGTCCACAAGCCACCAAGTAGGACAAGTTCATCCTGACAAGTCTTGTATTCTCTCGGAGATTCCTCTACACTGGAGTTGAGAAACGGCAGCCAGCAGTCAGTCAGCTGTTAGACATAAAAGGCTTCGGTCCGTCCTTTCCTCCAAAGCTGCTCAAGTGCTCCTCTAAACTCGGTGTAATAGTCCTCACTGCTTTATAGCCAGCCCATGGTGATGTAATGACAACCTGCGTAATGGTCCTCCTTCCTCGCCAACTGCCTGTTTTCTCTACCTGCCTGTGGTCACGTCATAGCGGAGATTAATTAAAATGATACAAGCAGCGGTCATCAGCAGCCTGGGAGGAAACAAGATAGTCCATGATCCATCATAAGGCACCGTTTCTTTGTCAACCTTCAGGTCCCTTTGGCGCAGATGCAGCGGCTGAAATCGAAGGTGCCTTCAAAGGCTGCGCATAAGGAGCTGAAGAGCGACTTTGGCAGAAAAATGACTTCCAAGATGCCAACCGCCTGCCCTGCGAAACATCTCAACAAGTCTATAATTTCTACCGAAAACGACGCACTGGTCCCGGTGATGGCAATTTAAACGATGGAAGTGCAGTTCAATTGAAGCGGGAGTTCATGGTCAGAGAGTGTCCTCCTAATCTGAGTCACTCCTTAAACAATTGCTCTGAGCTCATGTGAAAACTTGGTTTTCTTTAATTATGAAACCGAACAAGATCCACACACAATAAGACACGAACCGATTGGAACTGTCTGACGGTTCCCTTAGACACTGAGGTACAGTGATGCAACACAGTAAATCAGTGTTGCAACATGTATCAAATTGAAAAGTCTGGACCTGACGGGATCATGTGAAACCGTGGAATAATCACTTCACTTGCATGTTTGTTAACAAGTGGTTGGTTCATGCACACAAATGTTTCCCAATGAGCAAAAAGAACCTCATTATAAATGAATTAACGTGGTGTTTTGGTAGGGAAGCAGTAACCTTTATAAGAGTCCAAAACATACAAAAGTAACATATCACAAAACCACGATATTGTAATCACAATATTACAGTATACAATATTGAAATTGAATTGCGATATTGTCATATATGTACATATGTATACGTAAAGGAATATATTAAACTATTTAAGAAAAAATAATCACTTGATTCTTAACCTTTTCTAGACTGTAGGAGACTCTGTTAAGACCAGGCTTTCATTCTATTTAATTCTATTCTATTTTATTCTATTGAACTCTGCTCTACACACCCTACTGACGAAGCCTGAAGTGAAGTCCCAGTCCACCCATGGACAGACGGTCTGCAGGACATGATGCACACTCTGTGATGCAGACCTGTTGTTCTACAGCAGTTTTTTTTTCTTTTTTTCTGCAGTGGCTCTGTTGGCATGTTTGTCCTGCGCAGCGGTGCTGCTGCAGTGTCAGGCAGCACTGTCCGTTTCAAAACACAGAGTGGCAGTATTTGCTGGGCTGAAAAGAGAATTCCCCTCACAGTGAGTTTTTACTGGATCAATTCCACCCAGTGAAAATGAGTCATTGTTCACAGCAGATCTGAAGTATCTCACGGAGCTGCGTTGGTTCTGATGTGCTGTTGTGTCCTATCACCACAGCTGAACCAGCGCCGCATCTCTGATCTGTAGCCAATACTGTGAAGCATGTTTGTTGAAATATTACTTCAACAGATGTACTCGTAATTGAACAAAAAAATACTGTAAAAAAAAAGAAGTAAAAACGTGACATCCTTCGTGAGCGACCCTTACTTTTGACACACGTTTGTTCATCCCCAAAAACAATAGAAATGACACACGTTTGTTCATCCCCAAAAACATCTTAAAATAGAAACAGAAATAATCGATGGACTTGAATGAAAACCAGAGACCAAAAAAATGTGCTGTATAAAACGTGGACTTGCATTTGGAGGTCACGTGACCTGTGTGTCACAATCTCTTTGCATTTCTGTAAATGCAACACTAATCAAACACTCCTATTTATTCCAGTAAGAAGAAAGAAATCACAATAGAGTTATTTAGAGTCATGCTGAGCAAAGAGGAACCAGCGCCACAATAACAATGCACTCAAAATCTCGCGTGACCCGGAAACCCTGTTAGATTGTACTGCTGAGTCACGCAGTATTGTTGTATTGTATTGTTGCCGTGTTTAGTGAACGGCAGCGATATGAAAATATTGCAGCCATCATTAAACTGATTGTGTAAGAAGAATGAAACACACAGTGTGTATAAGTGTTTCTTCACCAGCTGGGTCTGTCAGAACAAGGGCTTCACGTCAAACATCTGATTAGAGTTGAATTCATCCATCGGTGCCAATGTTTACTGAACAGGAATCAGGTAAACCAACACTCTGCCCTTTTAACACTGCACAGAACAACACACTTGTCCACAGGGCACTGACTTTACTGTAAGTAATGGGATTTGCCCTTATGATTCGTAGGGGTAATTATTTTTAATAAGTGGTAATTGGATTAAATGAACAGTGGATTTCCCTATTATTTTTTCCAGAGACTAATGAACAAAGGATTAAATACAGGTACAGATAATAAATCAATCATACTTGAAAAGCAACAACACACCTTCAGTGGAAGTTTGTGCACAAACTGTTACTTCAGTATATATATTTTTTTGCTTTAATTTGTCTTCTCTTCTCCTTAAATAACTATCAGTAATCCCCACCATTAATGACTCTTTTTTATAATAAATATGAGATCATTTCTTTTTATTTGAGTGTCTGGTCCCTGAGGTGTCTGTTCAGAAAAATTCTGGCCTTCCGACAAATATAGATGTTGACCTCTGACCTACATCCTTTGTTCAAGAGGCTGTGCTATTTAAAACATAAACATGTTTTTTTTTTAATGTTAACCAAATATGACTATAAACCACATGCAGGGTCTGTCATCGTTATGATTCCCCACCTGTCCACCAGGGCCTGCTTCAGCCTTGACTCATGTTCAGGTCACGGCTTATATTTAGAATCATGCTTTTAGTCATCAGGTAGCAACGTAGAGCTGAAGAAAGTAAACCAGGAATGTTTGGCTGATTTTAGGGAGCAAGTCTGTGTGAAACTAAATCTAAATACAGTATATATGAGTTACAGTTTACAGTTATTGTTTCAGGATTCTATTTAGAGGTAAACAAAGATCATCCACAGTTTACAGTTATTGTTTCAGGATTCCATTTAGAGGTAAACAAAGATAAAACATGACCAGTAGCTGAGTGGATCCGGCCTTTTATTGGCCGCTGGAGTGTCACATGTGGAGCCTGTCTGTATGAATCACACCTCCGGTCGAGTCGTTTGCACTTTCACCTGCCATGAATGACTCGTCTTATTAACTGTTTCTGGGCACGCTCTCCAGGTAACCAATTAGAGCAGTGGTTCTCAAACTATGGTACAGATACCACCAGTGGCTCCATCTAGTACACACAGGAATCTGATTTTCTCTTCTTCTTGAGGATGATGAAGAAGTGTCTGTATTTATGTCGTGCTGTTCTAGTCTTGTCGACTTTAAGCACCTACACTGCAGGATTGGCCTTGAACTGAGTGACAGCAAGGCCGCCAAGAGGCGTGGCATATAACCTACTAATTCTGGATAAATATATATATTTTTAATGACAGAAAATATGTGACCAAACTCCACCTGTGAGTGTCTAAGAACATGGAAGAGCTTCACTCATCCACCATTTTATCAGGTAATTGTTTCTGACTAACTGACTGTTTCTCTCTTTTTTGCATTCTATGTTAATCTTTAATTAATTTTTTCAGGCTTTCTAGTTCCCTTTGTGATTTCTGGATCTCCTTTACTTTATTTGTTTTCTGGATTTCCTCTTTTGATTTTGTGGTTCTCCTCCTTGTCCTGTGATTGGCTGCCTCTCCTTGATTGGTTTCACCTGTCTTCCATTACTGTCACCTGTGTCTGTTCCTGCTGCTGATCACATGGACTACCTGTTACCCTGCTGCTGATGTTACTGTCACTGAGTTTCAGTGGATTTTATTGGATTGTATGTTTTACCGCTTTGTTTTGCTGTCTTAAATGTTCAAAATGGAACATTTTTTAAAGTCAACTGTAAAGGATTTACCTCAGAGGATACAGAAAAAAAGGTCGACATCATCGGTGAGTACGGCTTTGGTTTCTAAGACAATGACACTGCTGTTCATCGGTGAGTACGGCTTTGGTTTCTACAATGACACTGCTGCGATACTCTGTTGTGGAATATTTGTTCTTATTTATGTTTTAATGCAAGGTTTTTTTTTTACTGTTGTTGCTGTTGCTGTTGTAATGGTTGAAATACATGTAATTGCTATGAGATTGCAATTTAATGCTGTCCTGCTCTGTCCATGGATGTGCACTTGTGGTTGGTTGTTGTGGTCTGAGGGCTGATTTAGAATGGACCTGTTTGACATGGAACTAATGACACGACTGGCACATTGTTGAGATTTTTAGTGGAAACTGAGGCAAATGATTGCGGTGGTGAATTCTGCGTGGCCAAGTGTGCGCACAGCTATGCAAACATGATTGCATGTGGAGGAGGTAATAGATAATTGAGTGTGAGCGCAGACAGTCTGATTGTTGAAGGACCAGTGAGAAACCCCACAGTGATTGGTTCATTCTGTCACATGCGCTGTTGTTGTGCAGTATATGGAATCATCATCTAACTGCTTCTAACTAAAAAAAAAAAAAGTTTGAAAAAAGGTTTTTAGTTTATCGACTCTTACATAAGGATGTAAATTGATAATTGATTTTCTTCTTATCCATTCTCATTGGTTGATAAATTTATCTTTGAATAAAATATTGCAATTTAATCCTCTGCAAAAATTGTTAAAATAAAATACACCAAATTAGCAAAATAATCAAACCTTTACCATCAAAGACCTGAACCTGAGGCAGCTGTGAAATCTGAAAACAGCTTTGTTGTAAACACAACAAAGCTCAAAGTATTTTTTTTGTGTGTTTTTGAAAGCACCCTGTCTGCTATTGTTCTTAATTAATAAACATTATTCATACAGTACTGAAAGCAAATTAACAAATGTCACATTAACACAAGAAATGACATCTCATGTTGTAAACACTAGGACGTTTACGTGTGATGTCATCAGGCAAATACACGTCATCAGGCAAATGTGTCTTTGTAATCTTAAACAAACGGACTAACAATTTCACAATTTTGATCTTCTGTAGCAAAACCTGAACCTTTATTTTTACTTTCACCGTGTGATTCTTTTACAGTATACACGACAACGCAGCACCTGCACGTTATTAAGCACCGCCCCTGTTTTTTTTTTTTTGAAAGAATCTTTTGCAGAAACAGAGCTTATATCCTCATGCTTTGCATTTGCTTGCTCACATGCATACTGTGTGTTTGTGGTGAACTGGAAAAAGTCTGATGCAAAGGCCCATGGATAATTCTGATATGTGCAAGTGTAATTTTCCAGACCTGGGCCTGCCCTGTCATCAAGATTTTATCCAAAAATGACAGAAGCTGTGCTTCTTTGCAGCTTTCTGTGGCAGTGTGGTGTCGCTATTCCAGCAAATGTTAAGAGAGATGCTTTTGTTTCCCATACTTAAGACGAAAGGAAGTCTCATTGACCTCTTTCTAAGAACTAATTGAGGGTTTGTCCCTTTCGGCAAATGCAGTTGGAAAATCCTGCTCAGCCGCACTGAAGTACCTGTAGTGGGAGCAAGTGGAGAACGCTGCTTCTCTACAGAGAACCACTCCACATCTGAACCAGTCCACAGTCCACTGGCAGCAGAGGAAGCTCTGCTGGTGAACTCTGTTGACCTTCTGCCTTTTTTTTTCTCTGTCTGTGAAGGTCTTTTATTTTGAAGTTTAATGAGCAGAACATTCTTTGTAAATGCCCAAGCGTTGTGTCACACAATTGTCTTTGTTTTTTTTTTTTTAAATGTATACTTTAACATTGTTACACACTTTTCCCGATGACATCACACTGACCACTGAGCACCTCCTTCTCCTACTCCTGTCCCTCTTCCTGCTCTTGCCTTCGTTGCAAAGTCTTATTCGCTTAATTTCCAATAAAATTCAGAGCTTTCATGTGGCTCAAAGTAAACAACAAGCGTTGCTGTAGCCTTCGCAGTGAACGTCTATGGGAGGATTAAATGTCTTGGATTCTTCTCTTGGGTTTGTGTAAGACAAACTACAAGGCTGTTATGGTCCTATAAATAACAGTTTTATTGCATAGGGGAATTTTAATGCTTTTTACACAAGAGCACTGAAGGTTTCCACATGTGCCAACCATAGGCCGAGCTGCAGAGCTGAGGGACAATTACTTTAGACCCAATGATATACATAGCAGGGCTAAGAGTGTTACCCTTTTCCCGGAAGTTTGTTTTGTAAATCTGAACTGCAGATGTACTCCCTGACAAAAGTATCTACCAGGACTTCATAACTGGTCAGAACAGAACAGTGTTTTGTTGCTGCTTTTAAAGCCGGGGTAGGAGAGTTCTGTCCTCTCTGGACGGGCAACGCTGTACATTTAAAAACTGTCAGTCAAAAGTTATGACATTTCTGTAGTTAATAATACGATGTGTTTGTAATGTGCATGATGAAGATCTTTAGCATGAGCAAAGTGACTAATGTTGCTATCGCTGTGGCTTTTTTTGTTTTGACATGTTGACATGTCAGGTTGCTCTCGAGGGAAATCTAAGATGGGTTTTGTTTTCTTTCACGGTCAGACTGAACATCTCTTTGCTTGATTTATTTCAAAATTGACACATAAACCTGGGACAGATGGTCAGTCCATCACAGCTTCACATGAAAAGACAATTCTTTGAATGAAAATGTGCAAAAAACTAGGATTCAAACTGATGTCCTCCTTGATTTGAGGCACTGGGGGCTGAGCACTTTACATCATTGGTCGGGCTGTGATTTGAACACCTAGACTTGAGGCGTGTGGTCCAACATGTGTGTCTCTGTACGAGACTTTAATCCGTATTTTGATGTAAACTTCTTGGTTATGTAAACACGGTCTACCAGCAATTTTTTTTGTTAAAATAAAGTTAGCCTACAGGTGCAACACCGACATTTTAAACTCTATACTTAAAATAATGACCAAAACAGGAGGGGTCATTTTGACCCAAAGGTGTATGACAATTGGGACGAGACATTCTAGAGGTTAAAATGTCAGATACACAACACAGTTGGTGTTAATGATGGATCGATAGATAGACAGAGAGATACATAGATCAATAGAACTTTCCCTCATGAGTTTCCTTTGGGAACGTCAGGGCACGGTTTGTGTCAAATAAATAACAAAAGTTTGACCTGAAGTTCAACTTGACCACAGATTTGTCCTTCAACAATACTGTTTCAAATAGTAAAAAACCCGAACACTGACACCAATACTTTTTGGCACATTATTGTTTTTTTTTCCTCCAAAGTTCCAACTGGACACATTTTGTTTCACCATGTTTCACCAAAGACCAAACTCGTGCCATGAGTCACAAATCTTGTTTTGTGTATTTGTCAGTGGGTGGATACAAACCTTTTCTCTCCCACACAGACACAAACGCACACAGACACACAATTTTTTTTTTTTTTTTTTTTTTGCAGTTTCTCCATCGGAATGAAAGGGAGGGGAAAAAAAAAATCCACACAAGAACCCACAAATCAAATCTCCGTTCCTATAAACAATCAGTGCACAATGACCTTTAAATCTCAATTGTTCCATATTATGTCTCTTTTGAGATGTTCAAGAATAAATTCTCCAGCACAAATAGCGAATTCAGTTAAACATTTGTAAGTTGTACACATGTACTGGGTTCTAGCGTCATGTGTCTTAATATGAGATGTAACACGACACAGAGCCCACATTCCCGTTCTCTCCTAAGTCGCTCACACTTGGAGGCAAAAAGGCTGCAAAGAAAAGCCAGTCCCTCTTCCCCTTCAGCCTGTAAGTCGTTCTGAACGCTTGTATCGTGGTTTTATGGTGAGCTCTTGTCCTACTGTACTTGAAATAACAAAGGAATCCCTATAATAAAACCACAGTGCCACTCAGTGATGTCACAGACGCAGTAATGCAGGTGCAACAGTCTGGCAGATGGAGACAGTGGACGTTCACCAAAATATTCGTCTGTCGTCGCTCATGCACGGGGCTGGATTTAAAAGGACAAAGAAGCCACAAGTGGAATATCTGAACAATGGATTTTAATTGCTCATTCCAAAAAAAAAAGCGCTTGTGATTTCACTTTATTTTAGTATCCAAGCGCTTGTGATTTCACTTTATTTTAGTTTCCACCAAAAAAAAAGAAAGAAAAAAACTGCACTCTAAAAATGAAGCAAATATTGGAGAGATAGTGACAGACAGATTCCTATCATGCCACGAAACGTCCAAAGACGAGTGTTGGCGTGTTTTTGATTAAGGCCATTCTAGGACCCGCGCCGAGTGTAAGGACAAGACGCACATTTAACTCATTTAACCCTTTTTATTTAACGAGCAGTAAAGAACTCTCCCCGTGTCATATTTTCTTTTGTGACGTATTGTCTCATTTTGAAAATTATTCCAATCTGCGGCACGAGTGGAGTGGAGCACATATGAGAGACAACGTGAGGTCATCAGCTATTCTTGTACATATTTTATTTTCTGGACCACAAGAGATGCTGTCTGGCTCTTATTTATGGGTTTTTGTCGAGCTGTTCAAACGGCGGCAGCAGCACAAACACAAATTGTTAACATCCGCGAATGCTACGCCGATGACATCTCTCCGTCTGCCTATTGTACTGTCACCTTTTATAATTTTTTTTTCTTAGTAAATGTCTTTATTTTTTAATAATTACTCAGATTTGTTAGTAGAGCAAAAACACAACAATAAAAATGATTCACACTGTCCCCAGACCCTTTTATTCCAGTGTTTAATACTTCTCTCAGCCTGGTGTGTGTCACTTGTGTTTTTCAAGCCATGTGGAAAAACACATGTTTGGGGTTTGGGTGTCCAAGTCCTCGACAAAACCACATGGAAACATGACATTTCATCGCAGATATATAATCTTGGATCAAGGAACCAAATAATTTGCTTGACTGTAAGTGAAGTGTTTTTTTTTTTTTCTTTCTGTCAAGCCAACACTACAGTACTTTCCCAGTATCTAATTGATTACGGGG